ATCAAAGGAGACCGAACAAAACATATATCACCAAAGTTCTTCTCAACACATGATCTCGAGAAAGATGGAAAGGTTGACATCAAGCAAATCAAGTCGAGCGAGAACCCTGCTGATCTATTTACAAAAGCATTGCCCCCGAATAAATTTGAAGAACTCGTACACAAGATTGGCATGCGTCGTCTCTGTCAATTATGCTAAGCTGAGGGGGAGAATTTTATGAACTGTACTCTTTTTCCCTTGATCAGGTTTTTATCCCACTGGGTTTTTCTGACAAGGTTTTTAACGAGGCAGTACATAAAATTAGAATGGGTTTCTAAACTATACCCATTTCACGAATATCCATCATCAATTGAAAAATGAACATTCAAGGGGGAGTGTTAAGAAAAATATGAATTGTTCATTTATCAATTAATTAGGTCATGCTCCATCATAAGTTGCAGGAACAAATTGTCCATCATCATTCATCACCATCAAGCTGTCATTTGTATAGTATGTATACTATTTGTAATAGTGTTAGCACTAAGCCTCTCTACTATAAATAAGAGGCTTAGGATCCCTGTAAATTACCATTAAGAATAAGAAGAAGAGTGAAGAGTTAATAGAGAGAAGAAATCAGAAACGTATCATATTTATATTCATAATCTCTGAGTAGTTTTTCTCTCGTTTTATGACATTATTGGATTAATATTTACTAGGTTGGAAAAAACATCGATAAATTATATGAACATAATTTACTCCCTCAAAGTATAATTCAATTGCATGTGAACTATTCTCACGGTTAAAATTTAATCAAATTCTTTTTCATTTTATTTTGTGATTTTATTCAATCATATAGTCATGTCCCCATTATATTTGTAGATCTTTTTATGCAATTTTAGAATATGTAATTTTTGTATTTTAATTCTATATCTTTTTTTCAAATAAAATGATTTAAAATTAAATTGAGTAAAACATTGAAAACCAAAAATGGGGATTTAAATGTGACGGAAGGAGTGATTTATTAAATGATTTTGAGTCTCTCTTCGTCCTAAAATAGGCTTCCTTTTTATTGTTTTAAACTTTCCAATACTATAATGAGTACAATTGAAATGTTTATTTTATATAAATCCATATTATGCTTCAAAATGTAATTATTAATTGATTTTAAGAAATATATCAAAAATGGATCTAAAATTGGGACATAATGACTAACGAATACATATTTAAAATAATATAATAAGGCAATACATGAATTTATTGCAACGTATAGTTCACTTAAAGTTGGCGTTATTCAAACAAACCAAAATCCATGTAGATGTAAATGTTTATATATCATTATTAATTGTTATTTTCCCGTGATATTTTCACTTGACCAATGGATATAGTGGTAATATACTACTCCACGGTTATGGTAGGAGTTTGCAAGATTCTCAAGAAATGCCATATCCTAGAGCCGATTATTTACTCTCGGTGACAATGGGCCTGCTCAGAATCTAGGATATGGCATTTCTTGAGAATTTCTAGGATAAAATTAACAATGAAATGTGTTATGATCGGCGTCATTTGAAAAACGAGCATATTCAGCTTTTATCAAAGTTAACCAACGAGTAAAGACACGTGTATTCCTCTGTCATGGAAGCATTTGGAAAGAACATTGGTGGAATGTTTTTTGTTTATGGATATGGAGGAACACGTAAGACATTCAATTGAACTCAATCAAATCTTCGGGGATATGAATGCCTCTTTAGTTGGGGATTCACACACCTAAGAGTATTTGAACTCAATCAGATCTTCAGGAATTTTGAACCATAAAGTACTGAAAGTCGGCACTCTGATCTTCGAGAATTAAATAATATTCAGCATCAACTATTCTCATATTTTTTAAAATTTGTGATAAACTTATCTCTCCGTGCATCGCAGGGGAGATGCACTAGTTGTTTTAAAAAACACTTCAAATTGGTGGTCGCACACATTTGCTATCCCAAACACTGCATTATTATTTTTATGTATACACACACACATACACATACATGCCGACACACTCCATATCGTACTAACCCATTAAAATCAGACACCAATTGCCACCAAAGTTGAGTCCATCGAAACCGAGTTGCAAACATGAGAATATGTATATATATAAACACGCATACAGTGTAATATACCTCAACCGTAGCAACGGATTGGATCATTGCATCCTTTTTCGGTAGATTGCTTGAGACCGAACCTGCCTCCCTTTGCAAGGTACTGCTGGTGATACTCCTCGGCTCGGTAGAATTTCTTGGCTGGCAATATCTCGGTGACAATGGGCCTGTTCAGAATCTTCTGTTGTTGTTCCTTGGATTCTATTGCCGACTTCTCTTGTTCGGGGGTGTAGAAGTATATTCCAGATCGGTACTGAGTGCCCACGTCGCCCCCCTAGCAAACAGTACGTGACATAACCCGTTAAATGCATGCAACCGAAGAAGAGTCTATTTCACGCTGGAAAAGGATTTTAAGGCTTTTTTTTTCTAAGGAAACAAAAGTAATACACGTTCGGGATTTTAAGGCTTGTTTCTTGAAGGTAAATATGGAAGAAACTGCTGGATTGTGTAAAAGTGTGTATTTAGAATTATTTATGAAAAAATGAAATGAAATAATATGGAATTATAAAAAAGGACACTGTAGAAAGGACATATTTTCATTATAGCTATAAAAAACAACTTCTGCTCTAGTGTTCTTATTAATGAAGTACTCCTTAAAAAAGTTAAGATTAATGTTTGGGGAGAATATTGAACTAATAAAGCTCAAAAGTTAAAGCAAAGAGAGTAATCCATATTGAAAAAAAGAAGCAAAAAAATAAGGAGCAAATCATTCCTGTTTAACAGCATGCAAATAGTGCTATGGGATAACATAAAGAAAAGCATATTGACTTATTCAAGAGATGCACCATGCTTCATAAAAAACTTATTCCAAGTTCTCAAGTAAAGTCAACTAACAATTTTTTTGGTTCAAGGAATTTAGAAAGAAAGGGAAAAGGAAATCATAAGGAAACTGCTGAATTGTGTTATGGAATAACATAAAGAAAAGCATATGGACTTATTAAAGAGATGCACCGAGATTCATAAATCATAAAGAACTTATTCCAAGTTCTCAAGTAAATTCAATTAACAATTTGTTTGGTTCAAGGAATTTAGAAAGAACAAGAAAAGAAAATGAGAAGGAAAAACAATTTTGGTGTAATAAAATAAAACCTTTTCTATGCTATGTTTGGTACGAGTAGTTAGGAAGAAAAAGAAAATACAAAAGGAAAAGAAAGTCAATGAAATCAAAACTTTAGTTCATTTGGTTAGTAGAGAAATTGGTAAGAAAATCACTTTTCAATAAAATCTATTTTTGGTTGTTCTAAATAAAATGAAACAAAGCATGGTTGAGATGAGGAGGGGAGAGAGGGAAGGAGGAGGGGTGAGGGAGGGGCATTCTGCTGTTTTCTCTTTAAAATGAAAGGAAAATCACTTTGTAATGTTTATTTAACATTTTGTTGAAACACCAAAATTGCTTTTCCTTCCTACTTTCTTTCCTTTTTCTTTCGGAATTCTGGACATGGAACAAAGTGTTGAAGTTTATATGAAGAAGAGGATAGCTAATCTTACACCAAATCACACATTCTTACACCAAACAAACAAAGTGCTAAAGTTTATATAAAGAGGAGAGCTAATCTTACACTAAAACTTCATATGCAAATCCTTAGAACATCTTTATCATTCATTTGGTATGTTTTCATGCAAAATCTAGCAACAATATTCTAAAACTTATGAATATTAGAAATCATCGTAAATAGGACTAAACATAGAGAAAAGTACTAAAATTAAGACTTTCATGTTTTTTTCCGAAATAGGACTTTGCACTGTGGTAATGTGACCTTGCCCCGTTATAATGTGGCAATGTATATTTACAAATTACTATATTTTTTTGGTAATGTATATGACCGGTAATGTAAGTCCTATTTCGGGAATAAGAATATGGAAGTCCTATATTTTCTATGTTTTAGTTCTACTTTGGTCTTTCTTATGAATATTTGAGCGGCATGATTTAGTACAAAACAATTTTCTATGCAATTAAACAAATGATAAACCAACAAATCAATAAAAGCTAACAGAGTAAACAAATTGAATAAACACACCTGACGATTGCGGGTAGTCGGGTCGTGTTTGGCCCAGAAGGCATCGAGCAGGTTCTGGTAGCCGCACTCCATCGGGTCGTACTCGACCCGAACCACTTCAGCATGGTTCGTGCTACCGGTACACACATCCTCATAGGTCGGGTTATGGACGGAGCCCTGGGAATACCCGACCTCCGTCCTGGTAACCCCAGGCACCCTCTGGAAAGCCAATTCGACGCCCCAGAAACAACCCGCCCCGAACTGAGCGAACTGCTTGCCCGGACCGGGCACGTCGTCGTCGGGTCCCTGAGCGATCGCGGAGTCCGCGGCGGCGTCGCGCGCGCCGAGGCCGAGCTTGTTGAGCCAGCTCATCCTTGCGGTGGTGGAGCGGAGCGCGGCGGCGGATCTGGAGGATCGGGGAGAGGGAGAGATCGGGAGAGAGTTTTGAAGCGGAAGGGAGGGTTTGGGGAGGGAGAGGAGAAGTGGTAGGGAGGGTGCGGTGGATTTGAGCATTTTGTGGATTATTCGTTTGGGAAGTGCGAAATTCATAACACTAGTGTCCCAAAATATATTTTACTCATTCTTTTTTAAAAAATATTAACTCCGCCTCAAAATATTTTACACTTTACGTGAAATAGAATAAAATTTTGAACTTTTTTAAATTTATGTAAGACGAAAAGAGTACCATAATAGAGAGATTTATATGTCACTGGTCACTAATGTTATAAAATGATTTAGGACTCCTAAGATATTTCATTTAAGAAATTCATAATTCTTTCCTCCCCTAAACACCTTGCACTCCCACACCACACCCTCGAGTCCCCACCCAAACCTCTTCTGTTTACCGATTAGCTAAGGTATTCATTGCAGTGAATCAACGAAGATATAAAGTATATGAAAAATTTTAGAGATGAAGAAACAATTGATTTTTCAAACAGAGTACAGTAGAACTCTCGGGTCATCATATGACATTGGTTAACCAATGTCACATGAACCAAGGTTATCATGATAACCCCAATTTTGAAAATCAACTTAAACACAGAATAATTTGTACGCACACAAAATATACTCGTAAGAATTTATTAACTTTGGAGGGTCTCTTTTTTTTGAAGGACCCAAAAAAAAAGGTTTATAAGTTAAATGTGTACAAATTTACTGACAATTGTATGGTTTAACTCTATATCTATTTTAAAATGTCATACTATAATATCACAAAGTGCTCCGTTCAATTCAAAAACACCCTCTTTGAAAATGATTTGGCACCCAAATAAAGAAGGGCCAAATAGAGTAATAGGGCTAGGGTGAATTACAAGGGACAGGTTGGGAATAAGTACTTTAAAGTTCAAAACCCCCTACTAGAAAGTAGAGAGACTAGGGAGTATTTTCAAAAGACTGTCACGAAAAATTCTGAATTTTTTTTACAGGAGATGCTTAGAAGTTTCAATTATGCTAAAAATAAAAAATCTGAAATATTTAAGTTACAAGGCTATGGAGAAGAGGTTCACAGCATCATCATCCATGGAGGTCACAATCATTTCCAAGTCTAATGCAAACCCAAACAACAAATGCCCCTAGAAATGCTACGACTTATGCTAATATACCCAAGAAGAGTGTTGGATATCAGCATGGGAAGAAAAAAAGGAAAGAAATCAAAGCCGAAAAGAATCGGCTAATGGGATCTCTTGCGATCATCCTCGTCCTCATCATCGGAGTCACCACTCTCGCGGAACCGTGGATTCTTCTCCTGCAAAGTCATGTACATTGTGTGCACTAAGAATTGCCAGAATACTATAAAGACAGGGTCTTTTTTTTTGGGGGGGGGGGGGGTACTCGAATTCTTCTCATAATTTGAAGTTTGATAAAATCATTCCCAAAATTGCAGAAATAACAAACCCTCCTTATATAATAGTTTTAGCCTGATTTCTAAGAATTGAGTGAATTAATGTCATTACATACATGAGATCACCTAATTCTTAGTGACACAATTCTAACTGATTAAATTATGGCCACCAAATCATTCCAAATTAGGCACAAGTATTTTAAGGCCTCCAACAATTAATAGGTAGTTCCAATCCAAGCAAGTACAGAGTGCACATGTTTTTACTATCAATGGGGGGACAGTACAAATAAACACTCTTGTGATGCAAAATCATCAAAATTTCGAAGGATATGCCCTAATTTTTTAAAAGGGCAAAACGTATTTAAAAAGGGCAAAACAGAAAATCTGGAAGTACATAATGTATAGGGAAATCAACTCAGAAGCAAAATAATTTACCGGTCTAGCTTCATGGTCTGAATCTTTGGCAGGTTCACGGCGGTAAACTCTCTTGGAGTAATCAAGTCTAGGCCGGCCATCATCACGATTCCGCTTGCGTTGGTAATCTGTTCCTCCAAGTATGCATAAAAAGCCAACTTCTTAAACTATGCAAGTGCAGTAAAGTCGAAGGACTACACACCTAACTTCACAGAGAATTCAAGTGCAGTAAAATTGAAGAATCACCTCTGCCCTGTCGATAAGAACCTCCATTGCCATGATGTCCACCATGCCGACCATCTGTTACACATCAGTTGTCAAAAAGTAGTCCATATACTAATACTGCACATTTTTAGATCAATATATTCTAATTGGTTACCCACCACTTTTTTGTAATTGGTTGAAAGTATTTTAATTTATTTTTTTAAGCACTGTGAAAAAACACATAGTAATAATATATTCCCCATTCCACAGATATGATCAGAAGCCATTTTGGGTGTTAAAAGTTATTGAGCATTTAGGCCAATAGCCACAAAATAATTGGGGAGGGAGGGGGGCACAGATGTAAGGGAGCATCAGATGAAGTAGAGAAGAGTAAAATTTATGTCACGTGGAAAATCAATGCTGAAGCATAACATATTACTAAAAAAAACATAATCACACAACATATGCTACTGATTGATGAGTAATCTCATGACTACCATGTGGCATCGAAAACTTAAAAAACAAGCAAAGAATACAGAAGAATTAGCAAGCAAAAGAAGATAAATACTATAAGTGGGATTGCACCTACATTGAGGTGGCATAATTGGTCCAAAGTTCCCCAACGATCCAGTGCCATAATCCACTAGTTCTCTTTGAGATTCCAACTCTTTCTGGACCAACTTTCCATAACCACCCCTACGTATTTCTCGTTAAGGAAATAAACCAAGCCCCTCAAGTAACTTATATGATTATTTGAAACATGGAAAATCCTAGGGAAATAAAACAAGGAGAAACATATTGTGCAAGTTCATTACTTACTAATAATTAGATTCCATTCAAGTATGACACAACTCTCACCTTGAACTCTGGAACTCTACGACATGAATGTGCTAGCAAGATAAGAGTTGACCAAACAAACCTGATCATTTCTATAATAGATGAAGCAAAATATGTATGAATTCATGATATTCATTCTTTTAGGCTCTTGGTACTGGTCTTGGGGGCTTCCATAGGACAAAAAAAGAATATACATAGGAAGCATATTTAATGTTTCTAGTAAAGAATGATGGGAGCAACAAGGAACACTGAGGTTCTTTGAAGCAAATCTTGAAATGTACACATATTTGAAATAATAAGCATCCATGCCCTAACATCAATGTTGTGCTAATCTGCACAATTTTGGTTTCTATTAGAAGTTAAAACACCTTCACAGCCTACATTGTTTATAAATTTTTGTCCGCTTTTCAACTTGAACTGAAAACAATTGTGTACTTCAGAAGTTCAGGTTATTTTTTTACTAATTTTGTCTAAGAAAAGGTCATGTTAGGTCAAGGAACAGGCTTTAAAAGTCAATGAATCCTATACAGTAAACACACACACACTTGGTGGTTTAAATTAAACTATCATACTAAACTTGCTTGTAATTGTTTTATTTTGGAAAATTACATGAAAAATTAGTTTTGTTTGATCTTTAGACTTTAATGACAAATAAACTTATGAAAAGTGACTCTTTTTTTAGACAGAGACATAATAGCAACAACCAGGTCTTAATGGCAATTCATTGAGGGCAGGGAATGCATTTTTATTACAAATTAAAATGAATTATTTATTATCTATTTAAATAGAATTAGAATATGAGAAACAATTGTTCTGAATTCTGATCACGCAATGCAAAATATCAAGTTGAAACATAAAAAAGATACATCAGAATAAAAAGCATAGTACATATCAAAACCTCAAGCATTCAAGTAATATAGAAATTAAAGCATGAAGATAAACATAAGTAAAAACTTTAAAGATAAACTTTGCAACTTTCAAAAGGATATCTGGATCATAGTCAGTGCGATATTCGTCACGAACCTGAAGTTTTTAAAGAAAAAGGATCAGAAAGGCAAACCATCTATGTTATCAAATAATTATAACAAAGGCAAGTAGACATTACTTGCCCACCACTTCTACCACGACCCCACTGTCTCCCTTCCTGGAAACCCCAATCAAAATCTACCCGAATGGGACGATCATCAAGGATTGTCCCACTTATATATTTAACTGAGTCTTCTGTATCTTCTCTAGAGTAGTACCTGGCGTGAAAATAATTTCAAATTACTACAAGAGAGGCCATCTTAAATCAAAGAGTTAATTGGTATATAAGCATAGAAATGTCATATAAGACTGAATGAGTTTAACTAGTCCAGAACCGGCATATCACCAACTGGATGAAGGAAAACTTTACAGGTTAAAGTGAATAGAATTTCTAGGTAACACCTTTTAGAGCAGTTGACAGATAATTGACAAAAAAATGCACTCTTTAGTTTAGAACAGCAAAAAGAACAGGAAACCACCAGCTAAATGCTGGGGAACTTAATATGGTAAGGTTCTCCATATGATATACCGAAAATTCTCTAGAGGGAAAAGGCCAGAAAACAGTGAACTGAAAATCATAGTATCTGGCAATACATAAGGGTCTTTTCAGTGTCTCAAGGGAGAAACGTCCTGCTTCTATAGTGGGCAGAATGCCTCATGAGTCGCAAATAAGTAACAAAATAGATTGAACATCTTTTTTTAGACAATTGTGAGAAAACTAAAGAAAAATAGAGGAACTGAGGTTAAAGATGTACATTACAAAGCAGAAACCGCAGGGAGTTCTGCTGTTTTTGTCGAGACCCATAATTATCTTTTTTATCTCTCCAGCACGAGAGAACAACTCATACACTTGCTCCTCAGTCGTATAGAAGGACATATTCCCCACATAGACAGTAGTTGATTTCAGAAGTGCTTCATCAAACTCTTCCTGTGTACCCTGAAACCTTCTATCTCTGTATGCTGAAATCTTGCTTAGATCCTAACCATTATAGAAGAGTAGACAAAATAAGACCCACATCCGAGGATGTTATCATGAAACTTTATACGTAGTATATTACATATTGTTATTTGCTTAAAATTCTTTTCAACATAACTAATTTACTCTCCCATCTGCCTCTCTCTCTGTGAGAAAAGATGTAAATTGGATAATCACACAGCATATAAAATAAGGTTTAACCCCAACCCCCAGGGTCTCCCTAGTACTGGCCCGGACCGTAGGGTGCAAAGAAGTAAATTGAGCTATGGTCGAGAAAAATATGCTTCTCTGGTACGTAAAAGAATCCCATACATAGCATGGTCATTCTTTATAGCATCGAACCCTGGTTTACACCCCGTGGCACTACACTTTCAACCAGCTGAGCTATGCCCCCGGGCAATCACACAGCATATCATTACAATTAATGGATGTTCTCACCCCCATTCAAGGAAAGAAAGTAAATTTTAACACAAAATCAGCACTATATTCATCCTCTTAGATGTAGCTGTAATTCCCCGAAGAAAAATCCAGGAAAGAAACAATTGATTCACAAATTCGAATCTTGAGATAGCAATTACCGAGAGAGAAATTCAAAATCAACAAAACAAAAACCTAAAAGGCTTTCAGCGTGAAACCTACCTTAAAGAGAGATGCCATTGTTTCCCAACGGAGATGGCGGCGGGTCACTCCGCAGGTGTCCAGACAGCCCTACAGCCACCCTTAGAAGACGCCGGGAAACAGTTAACCCGGATTCGGATTCCTTTCCCGGAGAATCCGTCGGAGGGAAAAGGGGAAGCGATTTAAGATCGTGGGCACTGAGCCCCGGCCTGGTTAAAGACAGACTCTGTTGAAAATAGTGAGTCACAATTCACAAACAAAAACCATTACAAAATTTACAAATTTATGAATTCTCCTAAAAAATAAAATAGATTTAAATAATTAAAATTTTAGCATTTTTTTAAAATAAAAAAAATGTTACTTGCACACCAATATGGTGTACAATTAGACTTAGCAAATAACTACCCCACCTATTTTTAACCTGAAATCTAAACTGGAAACATTAAATTTTGAACAAAGGTTTTGTTGACAAAATTTAAAATGACTCGCTAAAAATGGATAAAATTTGATCGAACCGAACCTGGTAATGTAAAACTTTTCAAAATCATATACTTTAGTATGAAATATAATGTTATCAAAATAATGTTAATACTCTTTTTTAGTATATAAATTTATATATTCAGACAAAATTTTAATGATAATACATAATTATTTTACTTTTTCCAAGAATTATGCATTTTTAATTCTTTATATTTATCTATATATCGAATACTAACTTCAGAATTTAAAATAAAATAATATAATAGATATTTAATGCATGTTTTTTTATATTTTAATTGTATTTAATGTGAAATGCAGGTGTTAATGTGAATTTTTGAAAAAAAAGTCAACCTGTTGGGACGACTCAAATCCGATAACACTGGGTCATTAACATACAATTCTTAACCTGAACTCGAAGCAACCCGAACGTGAAATGACCGAACCCGAATCCAATGTAACCCAACTAATTTGTCAGCTCTGTGTACAATTCTCATACACAATATTTTGCATTGACACACTGACACAAAATGTCTTCATAACACATGCATTTTGTGTTAGTATGCGTTGTACATCATGTTGGTATACACTTAGGGTCCGTTTGGTTTACGGAATTGATGGAATTGGAATTGAATTGAAATTGAAATTCCATTTGATTCAATTCTATAGAATTGAATTCTACCAATTCCTATTCATTTTTTACACTATCAATTCTAAATCCACATAATTTTTGTGCTACCAAACATCAGAATTGGAATTGAAGTCCTCAATTCCAATTCCATAATTTGAATTCCGTGTACCAAACGGGGCGTTAGTATGACTCTTTTGAAAATAGTCTTCTTTACTTTGAGGAAGATTTAGATTTGTCTCCCACCTATCCTCAAGCTCTACTTCGTTGGATTTTCATTGAGTTTCATTGTTATTAATCTTATGTTGTTTCGAGTAAAATATATATTGTCGTGAATCTAAAAATGAGCTTTTGAATAAATTAAGATAGTGTATGATTGTAATTGGACTTTGTTGTAAACTAGAAACATTTAGGCTCAATTTGGAAAGGGAGAAAATGACATCCGGAAGTCATTTTCCCCATTTTCCATTGTTTAGACAAATACTTTGGCAAAAATCATTTGGTAAACATCTTTTTTTTGCAGTTCCAACATTTATATATATTAAATTTAAAATAATAATTTTAATCAAATATCATAAACTGTAACAAAACCAACCCTAATATTCTTGATCATTTATATGAAACAGTCAAGTTTTTACTAAATGAAAAAGTTTGAGTTATTACAAAAATGATCCGATGCCACTGCATCGCGGTGCCACTGGACATCTTGATGTTGTGTTTTAAAAGACTGATGATTCATATGTTCATAACTTCCCTATAAGCCTCCCCCCCAAACCCTGGCTCAACCCGAACTCACTCACATCAATTGGACCCTCCAAGTTTATTGAGTTATTGATAATTGGTATGGGTAAAAACAATCAACTTGTCTATAGCATATTTATTACGTTTAAAGAAAAGTAAAAGTATAGAGTTCCAGTTGAGGCATTCAAATAAGTGAAGTATATATAACTAAACAAGGTTAAAGTTGAAGCACAAATTTATGTTATTAAAGCGCAGCAGCAGCTAAGGCTGCGTTTGGGATCATCACAACCTCAGCTTCACCTGGATTCTTTCATGAACAGCTTTGGAATGTTTTCACATCAATGATTAAAGCCATAACAAACACAGCCTAGAAGATAGAAAATGCAGGCTTCCATTCAAGAAGCACAATATATAGATATATATGGAGTATATAAGAGAGTTCTGAAAAAGAATTCCATTTTATTCCAATCCCTCAAAAAGATGACCAAAAGATGTCCACAAAATGTTTATGTCGAAAAAAATGGGTTCAATTATGAAGCTAAACTAGACTAAAATTACAGTAAAGCATTCAAGTCTTCAAAAATGAGGCATGTATATAACTGGGGCTTAGAGAGTGAGATCTTTGGGGTCTTCGATAATCTTTGACAAGGTTTGCAAGAAAGAGGCGAGATCAGAACCGTATATTATCCGGTGGTCTGCAGTAACATTTACCTGCAATATTTTGCGTTTCAACAGTAAGCATTCATGGGTACAATTATTGCATTGAAGAATTAAACTTTTTTACTGTCTTGGGTAAAATTTGGGGTATGAATCTACCTGCATTTGGTTCTTTTTACCAATCAACCCGTCATTTGTGGCAACAACAGTTGGAATAGAAGCTCCCACGGCCATAATTGCACCCTACAAAAGTAGAAAGATGTTCTCGGTTGAGTCGTGATTCAAAATCATTGATCCGGGCAATCTATTCCTTGTTTAAAATATAGCTTGTTTACATGTTTGAAAAAAAAGTATTGACTAGTTTTTTTCCTTCAATTCTTCAAGCATAGATGTTGGCAATAGTCAATTAGTACGGAGTAACTAGTTTAAAAAAATATGGTGAAGAATTTTTGGGAAGAGCCTTTTAGTTCCAAAAGGCCTATTTCAAAGATTTTAAAGCTGATGTTTGTAGCTGATCGAAGAAGCTGTTTTTCAACTACAAAAGTTGCCAACAAGGTCACAAGATTTTTTTCTCAAAATGAACTTATTTAAGCGTACTATTGGCTTTTTTGACATGACAAATCAACTAATTTAGACTCATAAACTAACAGCCCGCTTGTTGAGTTTTGAAGGGTACATATAATATGGGCTCTGAAATCTGGAAGAAGTGATAAATGTTTTGGAATCTGAAATGATTATGTTTCGAATGATTTGAAATGGTGGTTGTTACTGGTAAGCAGATGTGACCAGCAATATTGGTGCAGGTTCGGGGGGGGGGGGGGGGGGNTATCAAAACACCCCAATTTGGAAGGGTTGTGATATTTAAAGATATCAAGTTTGAAATTTTGAACCCATATCTGATTCTCACCAAACGGGCCCAAAAAGAACTGCGTGAATCGTGATAGGTGTTTCACCAAAAAAGGGACTATAAAAAAAACCTTTAGTTTAGTAACATTTGTACAGTAAAATGCTTACAGTTCCAGGAGGTAAAATGGCATCAAAGCGATCTGTTCCAAACATCCCTAGGTTTGAAAGAGTAAAAGTGCCTGCAATAGCAAAATACAACAAAAAATGAATCATTTTTCCCTGCTGTAATGAAACGCCTCTTTACATGAAAGTGATTATTCTCTGTCACGTATGCATATCAAGCAAAGACCGAGGGGAATGTTCATGAAACTTCAGAATCACACCTCAGAAGAATGAGTGAGGAAACCTCCCCACCACCAACACTTGAAGGGTATTTTAGTCAAAACCATAGCATTCCATGAACTTTTTCACGGAACCTGACTAAATTCATAGCAGAGTTGGACCAATCACTTTAGTTTCATTTTCACCAACAATTGTGCTCCATTACCTACTGGGTTGTTGTTGGTGTAGTTATGTTACATTAAGAAAAATTGATATAATTACTCAGGTAGTCAGGGGCAACTAAAAAATCATATTGGTTTTGTTTTAGCAACACAACACGCGCTCACTTATAATTTACATGCTGGATATCAACAAGCAGCTTAGAGACAAGAGCTGCCAATCCCGGCACTCTAGTTTTAAATCAATTATTCCCTTCTAATTACACTAGTTAACCAAAGGAAAATTTATTTCCACCAATTTCATTCATATATGTTTGCCCTTTTTATTTGTTGACATATCCCCCCCCCCCCAAATCCCAAAATATCCAATTGTAAAGAAATGACCCGAAGTACTTCGTAGTAACTAAATACCTGTGTTATATTCATGAGGCTGGAGCTGCTTTGCCCTGGCCTTATCAACTAGCTCTTTCCATTTTCTTGACAATGAGTATATATCAACCTGGAAGTTTTTTTAGAAATTCAAAATTGTTACATGTTAGAATATAAGAAACATTTCCTGGACCACAACCATAAGCTTGAGCTTTTGGTTGAGTTGGTTTCTTGACATGGTATCAGAGCCTTGTTGACTAAGAGGTCACGTGTTCGAAACTCAGCACCACCCAGTTTTTTTAAAAATTAAGGTTTCACGTGCAAGGCTAAAAAAAACTACGCTTGCACGTGAGGGGGCGTGTTAGAATATAAGAAACATTTTCTGGGCCACAACCATAAGTTTGAGCTTTTGGTTTGAGTTGGTTTCTTGACATTACAATCTTAGGATCCGTTTAGACTAAGGAAAGCAATAGTGAAGACAACAAAGAAAACATGTGAGGGAAAATAGAAAAAAATGGTTCCTCTCCATGCCATTATCCAGGTTCCAACTGTTGCCTTAAAGATTAAAAGAGAATCAACTGACCTTGTCAGCATCCTGAAGCACAGGAGTGATCAACCCACCATCAATGGCCACTGCAACAGCAATGTTGATGCTACTGTTGTATGTAAAACTTTTCCCGTCTCTACAACTTGCATTCACAACTGGGTGTTGAACCAAAGCAAGGGCAGCTGCTTTTGCCAATAGTGCTGTCATTGTTACTCCTTTTGACTTGATCTTAAAACAAAACGAAGAAAAATGAGAGCATCACTTGCTTTGTTCGTTTAATTCTCCTTTTGCCAATAGTGTAATCAATATTGTTGTGTAATATAGATAAAAAATACTTAGGACTCAGTTGGTAATAGCTATGCCATGGGCCTATGGCTGAATCCAAATATGCTGAATTTTCTTAAAGAAAACTATTCATTAAAATCAATTTTAGCCAAATAGTTGGAGTGGGAAAGTGGTAACTATTGTGATAATTTTACTTGTCCAAAATACAAACTTCCAAAACATAGAATTATCCTATGACAACACCATCAACAACAACCTCCGTATAATCACAACTAAGATTGCTTCTGTTAGAACCCTGAAGTGTCGTTGCATTTAATGTCAAAACTTCATAGAAAGTAAGAAGCAACGGAAGCTTAATCCTAGTGTTCCATTTTGATTTTTTCCCCGTTATTTGTTTACAGCTAAAACACTATCAACAATGTCTGTTTTAGCATAATTAGCACTGGATGCACACAATAACCAGATTAATGATATCAAATGACGAACGAATGCGGCAATGCCTCAAGAATGAAGGAATGCCATAAAGTTACCTTTTTGTATAGAGCATCGAGCGAATCCGTAGTAATGGTGTAGCCAACTCTAAAGGTTGGCACACTCAAACTCTCCACCATATTCCTACTCACTGCACTCTGCATTGTAGAGAATGGCACTGCACTTCCCATCTCCGCCACCGGCGGGCTCCTTTCCTCCCTGGCAGAGCCCCCACTGACAGCAGCAGAAGCAGGAGCAACACGGGCAGCCTCAACGTCCTTAGCAACGACCCTCCCACTTGGGCCGCTGCCCGAAACACCCCTCAGGTCAACCCCAAGCTCCTTCGCCAGCTTCTTCGCGTACGGACTTGCCACCACCCTCTTCCCTCCCTCGGAAGCCGGGTGCAGCGCAGACCCCAGTTTCGCCGGCTCATCCACAAAACTGCCCTTCGGGGTCGGGTCAGGGGAAATGTGGGGCGAATCAACCACCGGAGGGGATGAATTCGCAGCCTCCTGCTTCGCATTTGAGCCTCCTGCAGGGGTAAGAGCCGGAATTTGGGATTTGACATTTTCAATTTCCTCTTCAGATTCAGCCAATAGAGCGATTGTAGACCCGACCTGAGCAGAGCTTCCTTCCGGAACTATAATCGAAGCGAGATACCCATCGTGGAAACACTCGACGTCCATGTCCGCCTTGTCAGACTCCACGACGACGACGGAGTCGCCCTTGGCGAGCTTGTCGCCCTCGGACTTGATCCAGCTCACGATCTTGCCTTCCGTCATGGTGGAGCTAAGCGCCGGCATGAAAATCTCGCGGATCTTCGATTTGACAACGAGCACGCGGGTACGGGACACGGCAGGGGCGGCGGATGGGCGGCGCAGCGAGGCCGGCGCGGCGGGGATGAAGCTGGTCTGCAGAAGGCGAGACATTTTGGTCGGAGAGAATGTGGAAAGACGGGAAATGCGAGTCGGATCCTGGGAACAATGGCCGGCGATGCGATTAAGAGAGGAAATTGGAAGAGATTTCGGATGGGCGGAGGTTTCAACGAGGAAGAAGAGATTGCTTGTCTTTGTGCGTATCGAAAAATCGAAAGAACAGAGAGTACTAAACTAACGGTTAACAAACGGAATCTCGGTGAACCAATTTTATGCTGGTTTGTGTTTGTAAGCATCAGTGCACCCATGGTAGCACCTATGTGGTGGCACACTAGCATGATCCCTTTTATTATAAGGGGATTCTTTTATTAAAAGCCGTGGGTTGCGGACCGGACCGGTCACATGAGTTGAATTTATGTAAGGTTCCAGTTTAATTAATTTTTTCTGTTTATTATTTATTTTTATTATGATCACATTAGATTAGATCAGATCAAATCAACAAACGATGCAACCTTAGAATTGAATTGGAAATTGAAATTCTATGAAATTGATTTAAATAGAAATAAATTTACCAATTTCATTTCATTTTCGGTACTAGGAATTCCAAATCCATATATTTTTGTGCTACCAACAACAAAATTAGAATTATTATCCCTAATTCCAATTTCATAATTTGAATTTCGTTTACTGAATAGAGCCAAAGAGTTTATTTTATCTAATGTATTCTCTAGGGTTTCCAATGGCATTAACCATCCATATCATCCTACGACATGGGCTCTCTTTGGAACCCTTTTGGTATCCCATTTGAAAACTTTTTAATTTTTGCCCCTCTAACTCTCCGATAAATCCCTCTCTCGGTCCCGACTCGATCCACATCCTTCCCCATCAATTACACTTCATAAAATTTAGTTGATTTTGAAGTTAAATTTTAACATGATTATATAATAATACTTCAATTTGTATTATTATGATTTTGCAAAGTAGATACTTCAATTTTTACATGATTATATAATAATACTTCAACTTCTATTATATTTTGTTAGATTCAAGCACATAATTTGTTTCCTCCGTCTCACTTAACAAGTATAGATGTAGCCTAGTCAGTTATTTTTTTCTTTTCAAATTGACTCCATAATAAGAGAGTTTAGGAATAGAAACAATCATTCTTAACAATAGAACACTATAGATGTTCCAAAAGAACTGGTATAAGCAAATGACACTAATAATATTAGAATTTTGTTTTTGTGTTTGATTGTGGAACTAGCAAAATCCTTTGCTATTAGTTCCCTTAATGGTAGTTCCCTGTCCTCGTGAATTCCCACTTTTTCTTGCTCGCTGCTTCGATCACATCGCCATTAACTCCCTTGAGAAATCAAATCTCTTCTTCTTCTTGAAACCTCCGTCGCCCCACCGCAACCTCCTCCGGTTCCTCTTCTTAATCGCATCGCCACCCATTGTTCCGACTCGCAATTCCCGTCTCTCCACGTTCTCTCCCACAAAAATGTCTCGCCTTCTGCAGACCAGCTTCGTCCCCGCCGCGCCGGCCTCCCTGCGCCGCCCATCCGCCGCCCCTTCCGTTTCCCGTACCCGTGTGCACGTTGTGAAATCGAAGATCCGCGAGATTTTCATGCCGGCGCTTAGCTCCACCATGACGGAAGGCAAGATCGTGAGCTGGATCAAGTCCGAGGGCGACAAGCTCTCCAAGGGCGACTCCGTCGTCGTCGTGGAGTCTGATAAGGCGGACATGGACGTTGAGTGCTTCTACGATGGGTTTCTGGCGTCGATTGTGGTTCCGGAAGGAACCTCTGCCCAGGTTGGGTCCACAATCGCCCTATTGGCCGAATCGGAAGAGGAAATCGAAACTGCCAAATCTCAAATTCCGTCTCTTACCCCTGCAGGAGGAGGCTCAAATTCGACACCGGAATCTGCTAATTCTTCAATTCCATCAGCTGTTTCTGTCGATTTGCCCGACCCGACTAAGAGCCTGACCCAGCATGGAAGCCGGGGGTCTGCCCTGCACCCGGCTTCCGATAAGGGGAAGAGGGTGGTGGCAACCCCATACGCAAAGAAACTGGCGAAGGAGCTTAAAGTTGACCTGAAGAGTGTTTCTGGCAGTGGCCCGAATGGGAGGATTGTTCCTAAGGATGTTGAGGCTGCCGGTGGTGTTACTTCTGCTGCCACCACTGGTGTTACTTCTGCTGCTGTCAGTGGTGGCTCCGCCACGGAGAAGAGGAGTGAACCTGTGGTGGAGTTGGGGAAGACAGTGCCATTCACTGCAATGCAGAGTGCTGTGAGTAGGAATATGGTGGAGAGTTTGAGTGTGCCAAGCTTTAGAGTTGGTTACACCATTACTACAGACTCACTTGATGCTCTCTACAAAAAGGTAACTTTATGCCCTTCCTTTAATATTGAGGCATGTATGTTGTAAAAATCTCTACTTTGCCCCCCATCAATAGTCATAGACTACCATTAATCAGCTCATTTTGTACGTCCATTGCTAATGGAGCTAAAAGAGTCCTTTTTGACAGTGTTTTAGGTTCGGGTAAATAATGGAAAAAAAATCTAAATGGATCATTAAGCCTATGATGATTCTTACTTTGATCATTTGCAGTCAGCCATGTTAGTTAAGTAACCCGTGCCAAATAGGTCCTTTGATCCAAACTTTTCCTGAATTTTCTCCCCTACGTGCTAGGCCCCAGTTTGAAGCATAGCTGAGGCCTTGTTGTGCTTACAAGTTACAATCCAACAAAACTAGCATAGTTAATGGGCATTCCATTTCACTGAAAAGGGAACTCACCAAACCAACCTACCATTGGCTGCAATGTTGCATTTTTTGTGTCTAAGGCTCCCTTTGGTAGTACACTTCTAATCCACACAATAAGCTGAATTTTCTTTTGACATAATTGGATTAAATGAATGTCACCAGACAGTTTTCCATCAATATGTAGGAAAGAAAGTAGGAAATAGCTAGATATTCAAGCTATTTGGATGTAGAGAAGTTGAAAAGAGGGTAAAATATGTGAGTGGTATATAAGCATATTTGTCATTAATAGCATGTAATATGTAGTATGAAATGGAAGGATAAATATGGCATTCACTCTCTATCGCTTTGTGGTTCATTTTAATCCCCCCCCCCCCCACCCCCTTTCTCTTCCAAAATCATTCCATATATGGAGAGACATCTTCTCATTCAAACAACCAAAAAAGTTAACTTCTCAACTTCTTTCCTTTATTAATCAAATTGAACAAACACGTCAACAATGACGGCACTATTGGCTAAAGCAAGTGATGCTTCCATATTTTTGTTTTGTTTTAAGATCAAGTCAAAAGGAGTTACAATGACGGCACTATTGGCAAAAGCAGCTGCCCTTGCTCTGGTTCAACATCCTGTTGTGAATGCAAGTTGTAGAGACGGGAAGAGTTTTACGTACAACAGTAGCATCAACATTGCCGTTGCAGTGGCCATTGACGGTGGGTTGATCACTCCGGTGCTCCAGGATGCTGACAAGGTCAGTTGATATTTTTTTCTAATATATAAAGCAACATTAGAGCAGCCACTATGGTTAGGAAATTCCTCACGCGTGGACTTTGTTTAGGCGAGAAACAACCCATAGCGGTAAGGAAGACAAAAAATGCAAGCGTTAATATATTTTTTTACATGATTTGAATTGAGAATTTCTACACCAAAAAATGGAGAGAGATAGAGAGATGGATGAATGACTGAGAGGAAAAAAAATTCTCACCGGTGGGATGCAATTAAAAAAATCCACAGAAAAAAATGATGTGAAGGAGAGGAAAAGTATAACAAGAGATTGGTGAGGAAATTTTATTTTTCTCACTGGTGAGAACGCTCTTAGGAACCTCGAAAGTGGTATGAAGAGGAACCATTTTTCTATTTTCCCTCAAATGTTTTCTTTATTGTCCTTATTTTTTTCGACTATCATTTTCTGGTTCCAAACGGACCCTAAGATTGTAACACTTTTGCATTTCTAATATACTTCCAGGTTGATATATACTCATTGTCAAGAAAGTGGAAGGAACTAGTTGGTAAAGCCCGGGCAAAGCAGCTCCAGCCTCATGAATATAACACAGGTATTGAGTTCGTGCAAAGCATCGTGGGTCATTTGGTTACTATTGGATAAATGTGATTTTTTTTTGGTGGGGGGGTGGGGGACTAGGGGACGGGGGAGATGGAGTGTTGGTTGGGGTTGTGGCATTGTGAAGGCATACAAATGGGAAACATATTCTATTGTTTTGTTAACTATTTTAATCACAAGGGAATAGTCAATTTAAAACTAGAATACCGAATCGGCAGCTCTTGTTTTTTCTAAACTACTTGTTGGTCACAACCGGTAGTGAAAGTGATAATTGATTGATCTAACTCTTCTATGACCAATCAAGTAAGGTTCCATGAAAGAATCAGGTAAAGCTATGGATTAGACTAAAATACCCTTCAAGTGTCGGTGGTTGGGAGCTATCCTCACTCACTCTTTTGAAGGGTGGTTCTGACATTTTCTGAACATTACCCTTCATCTTTCTTCGATATTCATACTTGACAGGGAATTGTCAATTTCATGCAATGGGATGTTTTATCAAAGCAGTAAAAAATGATTCATTTTTGTTGTATTTTTCTGTTGCAGGCACTTTTACCGTGTCCAACCTTGGGATGTTTGGAGTTGATCGTTTTGATGCCATTTTACCGCCTGGAACTGTAAGCATTTTACAAATGAAAATAATTTAAAGGTGTCGTTTACGTGTCCTTTTTGGCGAGAAGCCTTTGAGACAGCTTTGACTTCTTGAGTCTAAATTAGCTACTCAATCCTATAAAAGGGTCTTTTGTACTTAAGTTTGTGGCCTTTTTTGGAAACTAGTTGTTAACTATTAGCAGTTTAGTTGATTGACTTGATTCAAAAATCATGAAAACCAAGCTTGTGAAACAGCTGGTCTAAAAACTCTAAACAGCACCTCTAAAAGTTGTTAAATAAGCTCTTTGAGACTAAAAGGCTCTCCCTAAAAGCTCTTCATCAAATAACTTCTAATGAACATTGTTTAGCCCAAATCCTATTATAACATTTTCCCATTGAATAAGTGCTTCATACTACCTTCGGATCTGATATGCCAATTTACACATTTAAACAACTGATTACAAATTCACTATTGCCAACGACTATGCACAAAAAGTGCTTAAGTAAAAAGTTAGTCAAAACTGCTAATTTCAAACATGTAAACGAGCTATATTCCAACAAGGACTAGATTGTCCAAATAAAATATTTTGAATCAGCATTCAGGAGATAACATTTTTCTACTTCTGTAGGGTGCAATAATGGCTGTGGGAGCTTCTATACCAACTGTTGTTGCCACCAACGATGGGTGGGTTGGTAAAAAGAACCAAATGCAGGTAGATTCATATCCTGAGCTTTATCCAAGACATCGAAAAAAAGTGAATACTTCAATGCAAGAATAATCACCACTAATTCTTACTGTCTAAATGCGAAATATTGCAGGTAAATGTTACTGCAGACCACCGCATAATATACGGTTCTGATCTCGCCTCTTTCTTGCAAACGTTTGCAAAGATTATCGAAGACCCCAAAGATCTCACTCTCTAAGTCCAGTTATACATGCCCCATTTTTGAAGACTTGAGTGCTTTACTGTAATTTCACTCTAGTTAAGTTTCATAAATGAACCCATTTTTTTCAACATAAACATTTTGTGGACATCTTCTGGTCATCTTTTTGAGGGGTTGGAATCAAATGAAATCCTTATTCAAAACTCTTACATATATAGTCTCCTTACAGAATGAAAGGCTGTGTTTGTTATGGTTTCAACCATTGATCTGGAAACATTCCGAAGCTGTTGATTAATGAATCCTGAGGAAACTGAGGTTGCCGGGTTCCCAAACGCAGCCCTACTTGCTGCCGAGCTTTAAGAACTTGAATTTGAGCTTCCACTTTGGCCAGCTGGCTTTGAACATCACGGATTTGGTCGTTCAAATGTGTGATTATTCCCACACAACCGTATACCGGATCCTTAATCCGACATTGTGCCTCGTAGTACAAGGACTCTGCTACATCTGCCCGCTCGTCGTCTTTGACCTGCTGTTTTTTTTGCTCACAGGAATAAGTTATGGCTAAAATTTATAGTAAGACTTCTACATAGAAATAGCTACTAGTTTAGTATAAAACGGCATTGGTTTATATGGGAGCCCTATGGTATTCTGAAGTGATTCCTACCCCCCCTAATTAATCCGTCAACAAACCCCATTATTTAACCGGGCTCTTGCACCCCATTCCAATCGCCCTTGGGAGTGTGTGTGTGTGTGTGTGTGTGTGTGTGTGTGTGTGTGTGTGTGTGTGTGTGTGTGTGTGTGTGTATGTTGTACCTTTAACTTTGTTTTATTAGTAAAAACTTGTTAATTTTAACAAAACTAGTTTGTTATCAACTCTCAATGATGTCATGGCCAAACTCTCCCTATTCAGTGAACAATGCACATTTTCCAAATAATAGACACATTTTAAAATTGTGTAATTTGCACAATACAATGAAAATAAATTATTACTTAGAGCATTCTAATTCTTTCATCACAGATTTTATGGGCCTGTTTGGGAATAACGTTAGAGTTTTGAAAAGGCTATCTACGGACAGCGTTTAGCGTTAGCGTTTATAAAGTAATCTGCAACGTTAAAAATTTATTCAAAATGCCAACGGTAATCTCTAACGTTATTTCCAAACAGGCTCTATATTGCAAATTTAACATGCAAAATGTAATGTGTGTGTGTGTGTGTGTGTGTGTATACATATCTCTCTGTATCTATCGTATTTATCATCCAATGAGATCAATACTAAATATATATGGAGTATATATATGATCATATATTCATATAGATATATTACGAACAATATATGGGTAATGTGTACATGTATGTATATGTGTGAATATATATACATAATACATGTATGTATATATATATATATATATACCTGGAGCATGAAGCCAACTTTGGAAGCACCAAAGATTCTGTGAACAAGAGAAAATCTCTGGGGATCATTAGGTGGGAAAAAAGGCAAAAAAATGCAATCTGATGGGCATCTTCTTCTCAGCTGTTTGCAAGCCGCACATCTACTCTTATTACTGCTACTACCCAAATCTGTTGGTGATAATAATGGCGAAGAATTTTGCATTATATTTTGTGGGAAGAAGGAAATTAAAAGAGATCTTGTGAAAAATTCTGCAGTATCTTTGTTCATATCCCAAAAAAGATTTGGGAGAGTATTTATATTTACTGGCGTTGTTATTACAGGCTAAGTAACGGCTAGTTTTTTTTATTGTTATTGCATCAAGGAAAGTTACCGGTAGGGGGTAATCTTACCATCTAAATTAAGCATTCATTTTTTGTTATAATTTTATCACTTGTAGTCTATATATTTTTTCTTTATCCATTTTCCCCTTCCTATTTTCCCAAATTATGTGTGCCATGTAAAACAAAATGACACCTTCCAATATTTTTTTATTTTTTTCCACTCCTTTCATATCTTTCACTTCATCCCAACATAATACTCCCTTTGTACCCAAATAAACTTCCCCTTTGTTTTTTCTTTGTCCCTAAAAAAACTTCTCTTTTCCCTTTAAAAACCACTTTTACCCCTTACTTTTTCATACCCTACCTATCACCTCATACCTTTTTAATAATAATCTACTCATCACATCCTACTTTTATCCATTACATCAAGGGTATTTTTGGAAAGTCAACACCAAAATATCACTCCCTTAATTTCCCAAAAAGTCAATAAGGAAAGTTTATTTAGGGACGGAGGGAGTATAATCCTTCCCTTCCAAAATAATGACACATTTCATTATTCAAAAATAAAAAATTACCCTAACATTTATCGTTAAAATAGAAGTTCCATATTTTTATCTTCAAAATAGAAGTTTTTACTGTACATTGACACTGTATATTTAGGGACTTTGATTTTTTTGACTAATCGAACAACCACAAACATTATTTGGCTAATGACTTTTTTCACTTGGTTGTTTACTTTGATCCGAAAAGCCAAAATCTGAAAAGCCAATGAGAGTAGCTTTTGGACTTGGGTGTTAGGAAAATTATTTTATTTATCATTTTTCTTGAAAGATATTCAATAATATATGCAAAAAATAAAAATAAAAATTAAACAAAATTAAAAATAAAAAAATAAATTTAAAAAATTAAAATTAAAAAAAGATGAAATGAGAAAATCAAAATTAAAAATCATTAAAAAGTTGTATATTATTAATTTTTTATTAATTATACGAAAGTGAAATATAATACTTCATATAAGAAAGATTTAATTTTACATGTACAAAAATAAATAAAAAAAATCTGCATGTGTGCCTATTTTCAAAAAATAAAAAACAAATCTCGAAACAGCTATTTTTAAACAACAGATTTTACCAAACATTTTTAACGATCATCCAACATATCCTACCGGTCAAACCAGCAAAAACTAGACAATCATTCAAAACAGGTGACACAAACAGCCAACCGCAACCGACTGGCAAAATAAAAACAAGGCCTTCGTTTAACGTAATGTGACAAACATTTTGTGATGGAGGGAGTAATAACTTATTCTAATTCTTACTAGCTAGTTTTTCCAATTCTTTTTTTCTACTTCTTCTAGTTTTCTTTCAATATTTTCCAAATTTTGTAAATTCTTTTATGTTTTTCTAACTATATATTTCCAATTTCTTCTCACATCCAATCCAAAAGAACATGTCTTAATTATATATTTATCTAATAGCAACCATATCATGTAGCTAGCTTATAACAAAATGAGATATCCTATCTTATTTTATTTTCTAATTAGAACTGTTGACAATGTTAAATGCTCACAATTAGGGTTTTTGTTTTCACAACTTAGAGTACTTTTTGACATTATATTTTGACATTATAATTAAGTCCTAGCTCTTTCAATACAAAAAATACTCTCTCCGTCCCAAAAAGATTTACACCTTTCAAAAAAATTGCGTCCCACAATCTCCTACTCATTTTTATTAAAAAACCACTTTTACCCTTTACTTTTTCAAACCCTACCTATCACATCATACATTTTTTCTAATAATCTACACATCACATCCTACTTTTACCTATCACATCAAGAGTATTTTTGGAAAGTCAACACAAAATTATCTCTTCTTTGATTTCAACTTTAGTCAAAACGTGTAAATCTTTTTGGGACGGAGGTAGTATTATTTTGTTTTATGAAGCTATATTTTGACATTATAATTAAGTCTTAGCTCTTTTAATTAGATATTTTTTCATCACTTAAATTCCTTTTCTAGCAATGAAAATTAGTGCACAAGACATTCAAAATAAAATGTAGTGCACAAGATTTTTCTCATCTATACAAATTTTAAATATATACCCCGTGGAAAGCCAAGTATAGTACTCCCCCATCGCTCTTAAAAGAAATGTTTACTCTGACTTTACCGAATTTGAAAAAATTATTATCCTAAAATATTACTTCATCACACAAAACATTTCAGGATTTAATTTTTAAAGGATTTAAAGAAAATATATTTTAATGGTTACTTTCTAAAAATGTCCTTGTATGTGGTTGTAGTGAAAAAGTGTCATTGATAGGTAAGTTAAAAATTAGTAGGGTAAAAATGACTTTTTAATATAAATGAAAAAGATTTTTTGGGACGGATGAAAAAAGAAAGAAAAAAGATTTGTTGGGACGGATGAAAAAAAAGAAGAAAAGTTTTGTGGGACGGAGGGAGTAGAAGTTTGCTGTTAGAATTTACTCCTTCCTTCCTACAATGAATTACACTTTTCATTATTCAAAAATTCCAAGAACATTTATCTATTTGTGTGTTTTCTTTAATTATTCGATAAAATAAATTATTCTTGTCACATCTTGTTTTTTAGAACTTTTGATGTATTTTTTAAATATATAACTTTTATTTTTTATTTCTATATCAATTTTTAAATAAAATAAATTAAAAATATTAGGAGTTTTACATACCCGATAAAATTACTTGTAATAATTACAGTATTTTTTCCCCTACTTCTCAATAAATATTGAATTTTCGGCTGGCCAAGAAACAACAAACGGGTTATCAAATAAGATTAACTACTTGCGTATAAAATTTGGATCTATTTTCTAACCTAAAAATTTAACCTAATGGATTGAGCTTAATCTTTCTATGTATGCCAGTGGTATTTTTCGTCATACTTTTCGGATGTGCGATGGAACATCTAATATTAAATTCATTAATTTGAAATTAACAAAAAGGTTTTACTTCTAATATTTTTCGCAAATAATATATGTGAGGCTCATTTGTGAAGATCATCAAGTAAATCAAGAGGGTACAAGAGATAAGTGGACCCCGAGTTAGTGTTATTCGTGTCGCTTTAAGTACCATTTGTTCGGAAATCTGGCACTGGCTTCCTTTGGCTTGGTTGGTTGTTGGCTTTGGAGAATTTTCAAACTCAACTCCCAGGGTCAAGGGTTCGAAGCTGGTGCTAAGGGAGGAAGAAGGAGAAATGAAGAAAAATTGAGGTATTTTAAAATACCTTTTTTCTTTTTCCATCCAATATTTTAAAATGCCTTTTTTTCCTTTTTTTTATTTTTCCTAGAAATGGAATATGAACTATTTAACTAGAATTAAAATAAAAATATTTTAAAACTTATTTTATTAACTACTTCCCTTAGGAAAACAATTCTTATATTGACTTTGAGCAAAAATAAGTTAGAGTTATTTAAAATTGATTTTCCATTTTTTTCCTTTGATGCGAAGTGTAATATTCGATGGATAGATACCTTTTTTTTCTTTTTCCTAAAAATGGAATAAGAACTATTTAACTAGAATTAAAATAAAAATATTTTAAAACTTATTTTATTAACTACTCCTTCCGTTAGGAAAACAATTTCTATATCGACTTTCAGCAAAAATAAGTTAGAGTTGACTTTCCAATTTTGCTTATGATGCGATGTGTAATATTCGATGGATACATTATTTGTGAAAAATTAAGATGTGATAGGTAGGGTAAAAGTTAGTGGGGGTAAAAGTAGTTTTCAATAGAATGTGAAAATTTTTGGTAAAAGAGGAAAAAATGAAATAGGAAGAGTTTTGCCCTTTTGGTAAACTAAGGGAATAGTATTTAACTACTCTTTTTATCCAAAATTATCTTCTCGCTCACTATTGACGTGGTCAAACTTTATTCACTTTGTCAACCTATTTTCATTGCTCATTTGATAAAATAATATAGTGGTGTCACCTTTAATTTTATAGGTTTATGATGTAGTTTTTAAATATATAATTTTTATTTTTAAATTTCACACAATTTTTCATATAAAATGATTTGAAATTATCTTCAACCACATATTCTAAACTCTGTATTTTGTAATCTCCCTCTGATCCCGAATAACAACAAATGCTAAAGAGATTACAAAGTTTAATAGCAGAAACTACGCTTAGTTGAGTTTATTTTGAATTTAATTTAATACTCCCTCCGTTCCTTTAAACCCTTCCACTTTTGTCTTTTGGAAAAAATAAAGAAAGTGTAATTTTGGTTGACTTTCCAATTTTGTACCTGATGTGATGGGTAAAAGTAAGATGTGATAGTTTGGTTATTAGAGAAAAAGTATGATGTGATAGGTAGGGTATGAAAAAGTAAGGGTAAAAGTGGTTTTTTAATAGAAAGTGGAAGTGTTTTAGAGAATTCAAAAAAAACGAAAGAGGAATAGTTTTGTGGAACAGAGGGAGTAAGATAATGGCGCAAAATGTTAATAGAAAATTTTTATGTTAAAACCTACATTAAATTTTTTATAAAGTAAGAAATGACATGGTTATGTAATTTTAATAATGACTAACAAAAATAAATAAAGAACAAAAAAAAATATAATTGATCTATATATATGGATAATAATGTGAGATGACTAATTTGGGATGGTAGGAATATGTTAAATTGTTAATCATGTTTTAGGGGAATTGAAAATAATCAACTAGAACTAATTTATGTTTTATATATAAAAATATGACTTATTTTTTTATACTAAAATAGGTAATATTGAGTTTATAATGTCAAATTATGCCAGAATATAATGTGAAAAAAATGTGAAATTCCAGACACATAATACAAAATTGCAAACCTTTTACAATTCCAACACCCTTATTTAAGGGATAAAAGTCATGAAACATATCTTATTTTGGTATAAATTTCATCTTCATTTTAGTTTTATTTAACTAGTAACTTTTTTTTGTTGTTCACACTACTTAATTCTCAAATATTCAATTTCATCTTTAGCAATCATCCTATCCAATTAAATGTGAAATTTTAATTGGAGACGGAAGAAATACTTTATCCATCCCAAATTGTATTGTTTTATTATGGAAAAAATTGCAATTTATGTATTTCTTAAAACTTCAATTATATAATTTTGGTGGGGTTCCCATGACATTGTAACCCTATGTCATGGGATGATCCGGGGGGAGCTCCGCTGCCTCGTTCTTAAAATTGACGGTTCCTAACTCTCCGGTAAACCCCTCCACCCTGCCCCGACCCGAGCACATCACACACCTCTTTAATTGCACCCCACAAGTTCATTTTGACTTTGGAGTGCAATTAAAGGAGATGGGGGATTTGTTTGGGGCGGGGCGAGGTAGAGAGATATACCGGGGGAGTAAGAACCGTCAATTTTACGAACGGGGCACCGGAGCCCCCAGGTCATCCCATAACATTACCGGGCAATGCCAAGAGAACCTTCCCCATATAATTTTGGTGTTTCCTAATCTCCGGCGCCAATCAAGTAGCAAAATTCCAAAAGCACAAATTAGTTGGATATGATTAAGCAAACATTGTTTTCTTCTGCTTCAACTTAGCTTCTTCAAGGATTATTAGTAGACTTTTTTTCCCTTCTTTTGTAAGTTAGTTGGTGTATTGTAATTTTGTTTGTTTAAAAATGTTCAAAATTGATGCATGTGTGTGATTATTTGGGGGGATTAGTTTAATCCTCATCATAGTTTACACTAAATAGCTGGTATATAATTAATATTCTCCACAAAATTGACACAAACCTATTTTTATGGGACCCAAAAGACAATTTTTTTTTTTGCAAAAAAAACCATTAAGAAAAATGTAACCCCATGTGTGACATGTCGAGTTGGCGAAGCATGCATGTGGCACAAAATTACTATTTCCCAATTTTTTATTCTTGCCGACACCTTTTTTTGGTTCACACACACAAAAAATTTGTAAAATTCACTCATATTTAACTTATGTCACAACTTTTTTTTGAGGAATCAACTTTTCCTTTTTGAAAAAATATACACCTCCTCAATTTTGATTACAATTTTATAATTACATGACAAAAACAAAACTTATCGTTGGGAGATTTCTCTCACGTCGGAAAAGAAACAACAAAGTGTCCAACATATAAGTTCTATCGTCTATCCTCTTAATTATCATCAATTGGTGTTATGTTGGAACTCACATGGGCTTATCTGTTGGGCCTATCGCGCAAGTGCGTACGAACCGACATGTGTCAGATGTAATACTCTGGTTATTTATGTCTTTATTTATATATAATTATTCAATTCTGTATATTATATTATAAAAATAAAATATTTCAAAACTATATTTGAAAATGAATCTATTGATATTAAATTTATATAAAAATCCAATGATTTCTTTTTTGTAATATACGATCAGAATTTAAAAAGTCTGACTAAACAAACTGAAAAGTTAATTTTAAGACGTAGGGAGTACTTTGAGGGTGTTTGGGAGTGTTGTGAGTTATGTAAAAGTAGAAGTCATGATTTAGAAGCAGAAAGCATGTATTTTTAGCTTTGCTAGAAATCATTTCTAGACCTTAATTTTAACTTCTAAAACCATAATTTATAAGCTAAAGCAGATTAACAAACATTTGAAATTGTGTTTTAGTAAAGTAGAAGCTATAAGTTATTTTTATATGGAATCTCTAACACTCTCTATATTTCAAAATAGAAAATTAAGAGAAAAAAATGACAATTAATTCAGATTTTGATGATTAGATAGAGATGTCATGCACAATATAGAGGAGTCCAGGGAAGTGAAGGTGTGTTTGTTTGTTAAACTAAGGAGAGTTGTCTCAAACACAAACACTGGCCCACCAATCACTAATATTCCTTCTCCACCAAACACGCCACTACACACTAAGATTCTCTCTCTCACTCCCATAATCTTCATTCACAAAGCCCCCCTCCCATACATGGCCAAAGATGACAGCAATGAAGACTTCACTTTCCCCACTCCAGACTCCGATGAGTTTTTTCCTCCACCGCCGCCCACGTGGTGGAGAACCTCCGCGGCCTCCCGCCGCGAGAACCCGCTAGCGGCGAGAGGAGGAGGAGGAGAAGAGAAGATGGACATGTTGTGGGAGGATTTCAATTCCAATGAAGAAGAGGATGGTGGAGAATTGTTGAAGTTGGAATTTGTTGAAGGTTTGAAGAAGTTGTCTAAACCAATCATCATCAAGAGGCCCATAGGAAGAGAAAATGGAATTTTGGTTTTCATGAAAGTCTTGAAGAAGGTTTTCTTGCTTCATCATTCTTAATCCTCACACTTCTTCATTCAAGAACTAAACAATCATATTTTTTTTTATTAATTATGTTATTTTGTTCTAACTGCACATTAATACTTCAATTCCATATTTTTCCCCCTTTGTATTCTAATAAATGCACATTAATATATATACTTGGTAAAGAATCCTAAATGTTTCTGTAGTATCTAAACATATCCAGATAAACTAATCTGTTTACTTAAAATTGAAGCAATTTAATTCATACTATTCGATATTTTTTGTTCAATCGGATTTTTGTTCTTTACTTTATTTCTTATCTATTGATTCTTAATTATTAGTAAGGTTTAATTTTACTATAGATGACATAGAAATGTTATCTTGGCATTCTTATTCATACTGCATTTTATCTAATTTTATTCATTATATACAATCAATAATTTTATCTCTATACTTAATTTGTCAATAGAAGAGAATAAATCAACAGGGAATTTACTTAAATATCACTAAAACATAATAACTTTTCCTAAATAGCATCACATGTGTTTTTCTCGTTGTAGCACTTTTAGTCATTATCCATTAGTCATTATTCAAGTTAAGTGTTCGCCATCACTGGACATTATTAAGCGCTATTTAGAGAATAAAACTGTTTAAGTGCCATTTAGGGAAATGATTTAAATTTTAGTCAATTTAGTGCAAATATTTCTAAATAAACAAATGCACGTACGTAACAGGGGTGGACGCACATTATTGGAGTTGGGGGCATATGCCCCGTACTAATTTTTTTGTAATAAGGTAGAAAGATTTTAAACTTTTGTGTACATTTTAAACTTTTAAATAGAAATTTTAAATTTTTATGTAAATAAAAATTCACATTGCCCATTTAAAAAATGTTCACATTCAATAAATGTTTAAAATAAAATTTATACGGAGTATTTGTTTTTCATTTCATATAAGTGATTAAAAAAACATGGGGCCTGCCCCCATCTAGCTGAATATATAGATCCACCAGTGAAGTATGTTGAACTTGGTAAATAAATTTTTTTGTAAAATAAATATGACCAACCGTTTTGGTTCCGATTTTATTTACCCCGCCCTCTTATAGTAACATTTAACCTTTTGTTTGGAAGAACGAAAATAAGGATGGGAAAAAGATAAAGGATGCAAGATAAAGGAGTGAGTGAATAAATTAGGTGGTAAATAGATTAATAGGGAACCTTCCCGGATGTAAATAAAAAAGTATGACAATACTTAAAAGATTTATGATTTTTATTTTGGTACTTTCATAGTTTTTTTATTCCTGTCTAGAGAGTTTTACTTAGATTAATTTTTCTTCCATCCTAAAATATCCAAAATTCCAAACAAGATAAGGGAAAATGATTTTATTTTCCTTCTCCCAAATTTTTCACTCTCATTTTCTTTCCTTCCTAAAAAACTATCCAAACATGGGGTAAGAGTTATTTTATGGTGCAACTGTTGATGTATGAGTTCCCTACAACTGATCTTGGAGCATCACCGTTACAAGTTAGGGTTTAACGTTATCATTTTTAAATTAATCTACACTATTAAAATTTGATCCAAAATGCTAACGTTAATCTAAATCATTGTTCCCAAATTAAATAAGGCCTAAGTGCATGTTTGTCAAGAGCGTAGGAAGTTGGAGTTAACGTTTTAAGAAGATTTTTTTATGATGTCATTTTAAAAATTAATTTACACCATTAAGATTTTATCTAATTAAACCGCTAACACAAATGCAAAAAAATGGTATCTAAAAAAGGCCTAAATATGGATTATAATCATGTGCCCATCAAATAAATTAAAAAAAGGTGCTCACAATGTGACAATAGAAGACTCAAATGATTACCCTTTAGAAAAGAAGCATGGTACATCTATCTCAAAATTTGTACCTCATTTGTACACTAAAGTTATACAATAACATTTTGATAGTTCACACTGACACAAAGTGTTTGTGCGTTAATAAAAATTTGCATTACACTAACACAAAATATTAGTGCATCCCTGCGGTGTACAAAATGTAGAAAACTAACTGTTTTTGCAGTTTAACTAATTATCATGTCTACTAATTAATTATCAACGTAGATATCACATTATATTTAGAGAAATTTACTCAAATAGCAAAAAAACATAATGACTTTCCCTAAATAGCACTACATGTGTTTTTCTTCCCAATATAGCACTTTTAGTCATTATGCAGTAGTCATTATTCAAGTAAATATTCGTCATCACTGGTCATTATAGACATTATTAAGTTCTACTTAGAGAATAAAACAATTAATTTAAGTGCTATTTAGAGAAATGGCTTAAGTTTTAGTGCTATTTAGTGCAAATATTTCTTATATTTATTTATCACATCTTAGAGCATGTTCTTTAGGGCTGGAAAAAAGACTTGGATTATATTGTTAAAGGAAAGAATATACTCCCTCCGTCCCATGAAACATGAGACTTTTGCTTTTTAGGAGGGATTTAAAGGGAGTGTATTTTGGTATTGAATTTCCAAAAATGCCCTTTGATGTGAAGGGTAAAAGTATGATTTGATGGATAGATTATTAGTAAAAAAGTATGATGTAATAGTTAGGGTATGAAAAAGTAAGGGGTAAAAGTGACTTTTTAATAGAAATGAGAAGTGTTTTGTGGGACGGATAAAAAAACAAAGGAAAAAGGTTTCATGGGACGGAGGGAGTATTTCTCTATATTCTCTGTATATATTATTATGGTAGTTTCCTGATGTATGTTGATTTTTTTTCTTTTATATTTATTTTTCATATAGAGTTCTTAGCCTGTGGTATCCTGTATAAACAACTTCTGTTTCATATTGTATATATTAGAAATACAAGAGAAATTCTTCTGAATACTACTCGTTCGTGGTATCAGAGCAAGTTCGGTCCAGATTCGATTCTTCCTGATTGTTTGGACGTGGGTTTAAATGAGTTATCGATCTGTAATTTGGGTTGAGTTGGCTATAACAGATTGTGACTTGGACTCATTTGTCCAAGTGCTAACTAGGTCAGACTAGTCACCACTTGAGGGGAGTGTTAGATTTCTCACATTGGAAAATAAAGAAGAATATCACTAACATATATAGAAGGGTGAAACCCTACCTATCAGCTTAAACTTTTGGATTAGAAAGTGGATCCCGACTTTATATGTAAGTGGTTAATTTTACCCGACACTCTTTCCGTTGTTCTCGTCCCACCGAAAATTTAACATGGATGTTCGAAGAAAATGGAAATTAAAAAACTGGAAGAAATTCGAAAAGCTGGAAAAAGCTTCAAAAGTTTATTTAATTGTATTTTACATAGTATTCTTATTTTTATAATTTTTGTTGTTTTTTGTTTATTATTATTATTATATTCACAATAGGTAATGAAAATTAATAAGATTTGATTATGAAAATATTGTACATGTCATTTAATTCGAGACAGAGAGAGTAGTATAATTATTATTTTTTAATTTAAAATACTGATGCTTTTCCTAGATCAATTTAGATTAATAATATATCAATTACTTTTGGAATATAGTTTAATGTCATGTAAATTAAAAAAAATTCTCAATAAAATTACTCTGTATTATTTATGTTAGAAGTGAAAGAAAAAATAATAATGAGTGCGAATCACAAAATAGTGACATGAGAAAAATAAAATAGAAATAATTGAAGTAATTTATAAACTATAGTTATAATAATAGTAATAATAATAGAATTAACAACAACAATAATAATAGTAATGATAATAATACATGAAAAACATTTTGTTTTTAGAGTCATATTATTTGTGAGTAAAAAAAGATTGAAGAAAATGAGTATAGTTAGAAAAACTGAAAGAAATTGAAAAAAAACTGAAAGAAACTATAAAATCTAAAAAGAAGTGAGAGAAACTGAAAGTTAAGAGCTTAAGCTCTAAAAATCAAGCTTTTATTCTAACACATACTCCCCGTTCCAAATTATAATGCATGTTCACTATTCACAGGGTCAAACTTCATTCATTTTCTTTTTCTATTTTCGTTAGCAATTTGATAAAATAAAGTCTTATTGTCACTACTAGTTTTGTAGATCTTTTGATATAGTATTATAATATGTAATTTTTATTTTTTAACTCTATATCATTTGTCATATAAATGATTTAAAAATAATTTCAGTCAAACATCTATCGTAAACCAAAACAGGCATTATAAAATGGGACGGAGGGAGTAATAAAGTAAGGGTAATATTGAAAGTAACTCAAAAAGTACACATTCCTTAAATTCTACATTTTTCTCGAAAAAAATTTATGGGATGAAAGGAGTAAATATTATTTGAAAATTGGTACGATTTGGTTGACACTTGAACTGACGCTGCAAAGTACTACTCCATCCGTCCACAAATAAACTTTACATTATGCGTTACGATGTTTGACTGAAGTTATTTTCAAATCATTTTATATGAAAAATGGTGTAAAATTGAAAAATAAAAATTACATATTAAAAAACTATATCAAAAGATCTACAAAACTAGAGGTGACATGACTATATTATTTTATCAAATGGGTGACGAAAATAGGCCAACAAAGTGAATAAAGTTTGACCCTGTGAATAGTGAACGTAAAGTTTATTTATGGACGGAGGGAGTACGTAATATCAAGAATGACACATTGGGCACCTACGATACATGTTCCATTTACAAAATTGATGATTCTTTCCCACTTGATCTCCTCAGTAACATCCTTCCCCCACCCACCCAGACCTAGCCCTGACTCGAGCCATTACCCCACCCCGTAAGTTTAGTTGATTTTGTGGCCGGTATAAACATTTTTCCACAAAATCAAATAAATTTACGGGGTGTAATTAACAGGGGTGGGCGATAGTTTGGCTCGGGAGTGGATGGGAAGTTTAATTTACCGGGGGATTAGTTGGAAGTAGAAATAGTTAATTTTGTGAACAAATTACTATAGGTTCCCTAAATAGATGAGTATCATGTGTTCAACGGAAGTGCCCCGGAACCCTATTTAAAAATGCTACTACCTTCGTTCACCAAAACTCTTTATCTTTACTATATACTCCCTCCGTTTCTTAACACAGTTCCTGTTTTGAATTGAGAGAGATTTAATTTTACAATTTGACCTTCTAATTATACTCTTATTATCGAAAAAAAAGAGAGACAAATCATAAATGACTTATTATATCAATGCAAATTGAATGGAGTATATTGTAAAAACTTAATTTTGATATATTAGCTATTTCTTTAAAAAAAAGGAAGTGTTTTTGGGAAAACAAAAAAATGAAAGATGAACTGTTTTAAGGAACGGATTGCGTGTGTTTTTTATTAGTCATCGATAAAACAAATAAAATATTCTAGTTACCACTTATTTTGTAAAACTTTTGGTTTGGTTTTTAAATATGTAATTTTTTACTTTTTATTTTTATATTAATTTGTAAATAAAAATTATAAAATGATTTTAAAAAAAGAATTTTGCATGTAAAAATAAAATAGGAAGAAGTTTTAAGGATTTTGCATATAAATGTTAAAATAGTCGCACTTAATTAATTACAATAATTTTCTAAATCCAACCCTAGCAATATCCATATCCTAGTGTCAATAATAACGAATATGGAGCAAACATACACGAAATTTAAGAATCCGCAACAAAAAAATAATATTAATCGTAGCTAAAGAATAGGCAAAAACCCGTTACAACAAGAACTAGGATTACGTACTACTAGGTTAACTAGGACTTAAACACTTATCCATCATTAATTAATTATTAGATTAGTATAAATAACCACTCCAAATCCCAAACCCTCAATTCATATCATCATCTCTATCTCATATTCTCCATTACAGAGCTCGAGAAGAAATCAATGGCGACGAAAGTGAGGCCTATAGACGTGAGAGCCATGGACGAGCAGCTCAAGCACCACCTCGAGAAGCTCCTCAGCGCCGGGGGCGGGAGCAGCAGCCTCCCGAAGATGACGAGGCACGACGTCCCGCCCCGCTTCATGACGGAGAACGGGCGGCGCCCCGAGGCGGAGGAGGGGAAGCCCCGCGGGGAGAGGCATCCCCCGTTGCCCGCTGACGGGTGGGAGTTGGACCCCAAGAAGCTCAGGGTCAAAAGCGTCATCGGTCAGGGCTCGTATGGATATGTCTACCGCGGCACCTACGACGGCCGGGATGTCGCCGGTAAGTCACGTACATGCATGAAATTAAAGTCTTCCCATACAGAAATATTATGTTTACCCACTAGTTACAAACGCCTTGTTTGGGAATAACGTTTTCGATTACCGTTAGCATTTTGGATAAAATTTTAATGGTATAGATTAATTCTGAAAACATCAACGCTTAAGGCTACCATCGGATAACATTTTCAAAACGCTGACGCTAATTTCTATCATAATTCATTAGGGTTTTATCCCCTAAAAAAAATTAGGGTTCCGTAAAAATTGGAGGAGTACGTATATGATTTGATTTAATTGCATTCATTATGACTTTTAAAAATTAAACGTAACAAATTTTGATCGTATGCCAATTAAAAATTGCATTGTATATTAGTAATATGAGATACGACGGCGTAATTTTTGCATCGACCCGCAACGTAATTTTTGATTATTCGACGATATATATCTACTCAATTTGAAAAGAAAAAAATTAAATTGAATTAATATTTTTAAACGGGTAATTTATTTAATTTGGTTCGTGTTGATTTTATTGAACGTAATATTCAATTGTTTTGCAGTGAAAGTATTAGAGTGGGACGACGAAAAGAAAAAACGCGAGATCGAGAGAGATTTCATTCAAGAAGTCTCCGTTTGGTATCAACTTGACCACCCTAACATCGCAAAGGTAAAACCACTTCTTTCCCAGTAATTCTTTTTCATTCTTCCTATATAATTCCTTGTTTCCCAAACACGCCTTATGTTGACTTTCCCAGCTGATTGGAGCCCTGAGGAGTTTATCACAAGTGAAGATCAAATCCAAACACGGCATAAGGTTGCCAAAGACTGGCTTTTGCATAGTGGTTGAGTACCTTCCACGTGGCACTCTCCAATCATATCTCTACAGGAACCGGTCCTCCGAAAAACGTCCCCTAAGTGTTGCCCTTCAATTCGCCATTGACGTTGCCAAGGGGTATACATGTCATTTACTACCAATACATTTATATACCCTTTACTTCTGGCTAGGGGTACAAATGTCCTTTATATAATTGTTGTTGTTGTTGTTGAATTAACATTATTTTGAATTGGTGGGTGCAGATTGAGCTACCTTCACTCCAAGAAAATAGTCCACAGAGACGTGAAGACGACGAATCTGCTCCTCGACAAGAGCGGTAGGGTGAAGTTTGTCGATTTCGGGGTTTCTCGGCTCGAGGCAGCCAACCGTAACGAGATGACCGCAACCACCGGCACGGTGGGGTACATGGCGCCGGAGGTGTTTGATAAAAGGGCATATGATCACAAATGTGATATCTACAGCTTTGGCATTTGCTTATGGGAGATTTACCACTACATGTTCCCATTTCCTGACTATAACCCCAAACATCCTTACCCAGCTTCTGTCTACAAGGTAATAAATTAATTAAACGACAGTACTTTAACTTTAGCATTTTCATAGTCAATCTGATATTCATAATAACTAATCAACACGTTTTTAAAAAATTACTTTCTCGACTTTCAGATTCTGAGGCCTGAGATAGCTGTGTCGTGCCCATCGGCCCTAGCGAACGTGATGACGATGTGTTGGGACGTGAACTCGAGGAAGCGGCCGGAGATGGAGACGGTGGTGGAGATGCTAGAAGCGGTCAGAGCGTACGAGGATGCCTCGGCGAAGCAACGTCTGAAGAAGATTAATAGCGTCGCCGGGTTCTTCTGCCTGCAGCCTCGTGCAAAAGCTTCCCCAGAAGTAGCTGCAGCCTAGGGTTCGTTGGAGGTAGATTACATATATGCATGATGAGAAGAATAATGAAGGAGGTGGAATGAGTTGAATTTAATTACTTAGGATTTTGGTTGTGTTGGGGCTCATCTTCATGCAGATCAATATAATGTACGTAGACATATTTGCATGGCGCCCTTTCATTGTTTTCTTTTCATGTGGAGTTGTTTGTGATAAATTTGTTTGTTTTGTTTTTTTCAGTAATGAATAATTTGTATTTTTCAGTGATTTAATTTGTTCTTGAAAACAGCCAATTTATGTGTACATATATATATTTCTGCTAAAGTTTTACCAATTATTGGCCGGGGAACATATTTAATTTGTCAAAGTACAAATTATTTAAATAATTCCAAAGACATTTTCTCTATTGCAACAATTTTCTACATTTTCTCTATACTATCTGCTGAGAATTACATCCATTTCAACCAAATAAGTCAAAAACTGTTTTATAAGGGTCTGTTTGGGAATAGCGCTAGCGTTTAGAAAATGTTATCTACTGCCAGCGTTTAACGTTAGCGTTTTCAAAGTAATCTGCACCGTTAAAAATTTATCCAAAATGCTAACGCTGATCTCTAACGCTATTCCCAAAGAGGCCCTAAAACATATTGGATCTGGACATTCTTTGAGCAGAATAAACTAAAGTTTTTGGCAACCTAAGCTGTCAAAACAGACAAAGGATCACAGCTAATTTGGCACTTTGTACTTCCTATCATACATCATCAAAAACACTTCCTCTTTCATTTTTTTCCCTTCCAACAAAACACTTCCACTTTCTATTAAAAAACCACTTTTAACCTTACTTTTTCATACCCTACCTATCACATCATACTTTATCTCTAATAATCTATCCATCACATCTTACTTTTACCTATGACATCAAGGGCAAAATTGGAAGTCAACTACAATTTAATACTTCTTTATTTTTACACAAAGTCAAAAGAGGAACACTTTTTCCAAACGGAGGGAGTATCACATTTCTTAAACAAAAAGCATGCCAAGTTACATTGGCGCGTCACCTGTCGAGCATAGTCGATATAGATCTCGATCTCCGTGGGCCCCACGCAAGCGCGTAGGGTTGTTTTTTCCCCAATAGGTCATATCTATGCCTAAGCGTTTGGTCCCATCAAATTGTAGCGTGGCTTTTTCACAAGTTCACTATGTCTCGATGGCGAAACAATTTGGCTGTCTTTCGCCTCGCACAGTCCTTGCAGTGAAAATGTCACACATTTATCCCATGATCAGTATTCTTGAACAATGAAATTCAATTGCATATATGCAATTGTGTTGAGTTCATATAAGGTCTGCACTAGTACTATAATCCTAGATCTTTAGGTGTTCCTATCTAAGGTCATATCCTTAGTAAGATCCTTAAGTCGAAAGTTCTGTATAATCACCTTGAACATATTGAGGTAAAAAGGTTTTCCAGGGTTCATCCTTCTTAGTTTGAAGTATGTATATGCAAAACTCAGCTGATCTCGTGGTGTAAACCGGTCCACCTCATTAAACCAGAGGCATGAAAATAAGTTTGACATGGGCGTGTGAGCTCTCACAATCAAGGAGCCTTCAGGCACATCTGTCAAAATAACCCCAAAAGTCAATTAGATTAAGAAAATTTTAAAAAGACAGAGTAACTAAATAGATAAATATCTTCAATTCGAAGAGCACAATGAAGCAGAAGGTGCATAACAGAAACATACTGCTAGGAAGTAGCTTGTCTGGATCTGAAGCATTAAACCGTTCGAGACCATCATCTCGGTAGAACTGAAATTGTTGATCTATAATGGTGTGGTTGTACTTGTTAAGTTTCTTGTTTTGAGCCACTTCTTCCCAGACACAATGCCGATCATAGTGGTTGGAAATGGCGTACTCATGGCCTCTCCGCCAGAGAAAATATTCCAATATAAGAAGAGGGTCCAGCTGCAGTCTAAGCTTGCTATCCAACCAAATTGAATACCTGTGGATTTTGAAAATAAAATGAACATAAAGCAATAGAATTGACTGTTTAGTACTGTAACAATGTTCAGCAGACCTTTAAACCTTGGACATATTGTAAAACCTCTAGAAGGAATATTCTCAAAACAATAACATTGATTTTATTATTTCCCTAAGTTTCTATCGAATATTATATAAAGACTATGCACACAATGTATATTCTCGACCCAGTTTAAGTGTCATCATTTGTTCGTATACTCCGTATAAAACTATATAAGGGAGGTTTTATATGGTTATACCGGTTAAAGACGATAGCCCCTCAATTAGAATAAAATTACTTAGGTCCAACTCTATTCCTTTACTCCCTCCCATCAGAGTTTTCTTTTCCGCTTGTCCGTCTCAAAATAAATTTCACCTTTCCTTTCTAAGAAATAAATATGAGGATCACAACATTTCTCTCTTCTAAACGAATTTTAGTTGGACATTTTTTACTCTTCAATATTGTTCTAAACCTATGTAAACTCCAAGTGTGGATTTCTTTGCGGTACTAGGCACTTTTCACTTTTCACCACTTTTCTAAAACCCGTAAAGTCAAAGTATGAAATTCTTTGGGAGATAGAGGGAGTATAAAGGTTTTCTTATATTAATTGGATAAGACTAAGAGTAAACTCTACAAGTATGAAGTAAAAAGAAAAAAATTCCTGACAATTTCTCACCTGGCTGATGTAAAAAGTCTGTGTGACAAAAACTTGGGTATCTTTCCCACTCGCCGCATGTCATCATAAGGAAAATTTTTAACCACCACGATTTTCCATAAACCAATAAAACCCATGCTATCCAGCATATGGCCTTCTGAAGAAAGGGTCTGTAAAGTCCCTTCATCCACAAACATAACAAAGCAAACATTTTTCCTGGAAAACCGAGAAACCTGGAGAAGTTAAATAAATAAATAAATAAATAAATACTCCGTAAAAGAAGGAGAAAATGTATGCACTTTTAGTGTGTGAACAAAAACGCCATATTGAGAACTAAATATGATATGTGTTTGAAGACTAAGAGCTTGTTCTCTTCAACGTATTCTTATTGCTTATTACTTATTTTTATTGTGAAGATCAAAAACAGCTTCTAATATAACTACAATGCCAAACCGGATTAGACCACACCAGGCGAAGAGAACAAGCTTTAAATTGACTACAAATTTTATGGTTGAGGACCAAACTGAGTTCATTAAAAAGTTGATAACCAGATAGAGTAATCATGTATGATATGTAATCAAACTTATCAAAGTTCTAAATCAAGTATTGACAATATATATATAATTAATCTGCTATCAACATTTTCTCACAAATCAAGTAAAGGTAACCCACATCAGAGGCATATAAAATTGAGGGAAAATAGTATAAAATTGAATGGCAATATGTAACTCGATAGGTACCAATTTGCCTACTGGTGTTCTCAAACGATCTGAATTTCCAAATATACAAGAAACAACAGCGATATGGCAACTGCTAATGTATCTTGCATCATCTTCAACCATGTCAAAGCCTGTAGATGGAGATCCTTCAGGGCCTTTGACAAAGCCACAATTTATTTTCTGATTCTGTGCAAGAAAGGATTCTTCTCTTTCTGCAAGAGATTGATGACCAGAAAATCTTGGTTCCCATCTTCCTCCAATAGGCTGATACTCTCTTTCAGTATACTGCAACGAAAATCTGGCAAATTTCTGGCTCTCTACAGGTTCTACAATGAGTTCAGTAGAGTTTAAAAGTTTCATATCACATGGACCTGCAAATGAAATGCACAAAGTTTAGATACAAATATACAAATGGATTGGACTCAAATCACAATTTTCCTTCATAAAAGATTACAATCCATAATGTTTGAAAATATGGATTGGGCCACTTTCCAATGAAGAGCAGTAATAATACACATTGAAATTTGAATATACCAAGAGGCTACAAATTACACCATCTCTCTCCAATTCGAACGGTTGTTTTAGGTCTTTAAACATAATTAAGAAAGCAACTAAGTTTTCTATAACCAAGATAAATATTCTATAGCATGACTAGAATAGCCTTTATAAATGAGTTAAGGATATACATTATATTTTGAAACATTTATAGATGGAGAAGGGAATTTGTGGAAAATGAGAAATAAATGCTTTCTTGATATTCAAAAATGGGCATTTATTTGGGAGCATAAATTTTCTCTAAATCAAAAGTTAAGCTCTGCCGGCTCAAAATTTAGATATTTTTTATACTTCGCCACCAGCATGCACATGTCTTTCCATTCAATCTCACTTTGCAAAGTTCAATATTCATAACTTAATGATAAAAGGCAATACGAGTAAATTGCATAAAAAAGCACGTCGATAGAATCCAAAACAAATCACACATGCAAATGCAAAAAGAGGGAAAACTTCTTAAACTTACGTCGCTTTGCTTTCTTCCTTGATGCTAACCGCTGTTCATATTTAGACTTTCTTGAAGATCGTCTTGCATTCACACCACTTTTTGAATGTTGAATGCTTGAAACGAGGTCCTTGTTAGAGAAATCAGTTAAGCCTTTGCCAACCCTAATGACCTTTATTTTGTTTCTGGCCCCATCATCATGCATAACAATTTGATTGTCATTCTCATCACGGCCCACCTCATTGTATCCTTCTGCATTTGTATCATCTGAATCAATTCCAGAGTCATATGCATCATCGTTGCCATGGTCGGTCAATTCATGTCCAAAATTGTCTTTTTGTCTTTGTATTCTCGGGACATTAGTAAGAAAATCCGTATTGTTTTCAATTTCATCATCCTGTGCACGACTGTTATCAAACTCTGCCAGAGCAAAAAGTTATCAAAACCAACATTAGTGCCTTTTAAATAGATTATGGTGATTATAATCACATAAAGTGTTGCATTCAGTGATCACTATCAGTAAACATCCCAACTTATCACCTTGTCATGATATTTTCCATGCATGTGAAAATAAAAGCTTTTAAAATTTTCATCTCATTATTCCTTTCTACTTCCTCCATTGTCAATGGAGCTAATAGAGTCATTTTTGGCAATGTGTTGGCTTCAATAAATAATGGATTACATAAAATTTACACATTATACTTCTCATTCCTCATACTTTCTATGAAGTTTTGGGGTGTAGATGCAACAAAGCATCAAGGGTCTAGCAGAAACAACCCCTCTGCTTTGTTTTTGTAATAGCGGTAAGATTGCATACATTTTAACCCTCCAAACCAAACAGAAATGGGATTATACGGTCTTTATTCTTGTTGCTCTACTCCTTATAATGCCTTCCTACAAAGGTTGTGAAGGCATCCGTCCCGCTTTAGGCATTACCACTATGCTTTTCTATATGAATTCATAGTGTTCATTACTGCTAAGGGGCTGACAACGATGGTACAGTGATGTTCAGCAATTAAATTTGATGAATTAGAAGGGGGTAAACTCAATCCATAATCAACTTAAACACAAACACATGGCGTGTATTCTGCATTTTGCATCCTTAGAAAAGGAGATAGGAATATGCATACACTGATATACATACCGCTATTTTGAGAAGCGAAGTATAGAATAGAGAGGACGGAGGTGACAAAGACGAGGGAGAGAATAGCTACGATAGCGCCGGCCGAGAGTTGGCGGCCTTTAAACCGGCGGTGATGGCCGTGCAGAAACCGCGATTGCTGCTGTTGCTTGAGCGCCGGGTATCGAACCCCAATCGACACGCGATTAGGAGAGACGCCGCTTCTACCTAATCCTCCGCCGCCATTTTCGAAGCTCCACTGCCTGGACTGAGCCATTCCGCGGATTGCACAGTATACTACGCTCCGGAAATACTAACGTCTGCTCACGTATACACGAATTCGAGCCTAGGTCTCCTGAAAGAGGAAGCTTTCTGAGCGTCCGGGAAGTGGATTGCCGGAAAAGGAGACTGGAGGTCGTCGGCGACGTTGAGTCTGCTCAAAGCTTGTGTGAGGTTACGGACTTTACGGGGACCCGGAGCTTTGAACCGTTGGGACTTTTTACTCAATTTATGCCGGGTTGGGGGTCATGCCATAAGAGGTGTGCTCCGTTAAGTATATCGAAATGTCCAATGAGAGACATTCCATCAAAAAACCTTTAAGTATATCGAAATGTCTAACCTGCCCCTCTCTATTTCCCAATAAAGCCCTTTTTTCACGTTTGTGCTGACTGCATCTTCTCCAATTGGGGGCTCGTTTCTGCATATTTTAGGGGCTGGTTTCTGCATTTTTTGGGGGTTGGTTTTTTCATTTTTGGGGGGCTGGTTTCTTTATGTTTTTTGTGGGCTGGTTTCTGCATTCTTTGAAGCTGGTTTCTACATGTTTTAGGGGCTGATTTCTGCATTTGGGGGGATGTTTCTCAATTTTTCAAAGCTGATTTTCATGTTTCAACTGAAACCAAAACAAGCATGAAGCAAGGCTGGGTTTTTTGGACTGATTTCCTTTTCTTCAAACTTGGTTTTCCATGTTTCAACTGAAACCAAAAGAAGAGAGATGTTTAGTTCAATTCTTGCATCCTAATAGCTGTGTAAAAAACCAATCGGGAAAAAGAAAAATCTCATAATTTTACCACAAACCACAAACACAAAGACCACGGACATGGAGGAGTAGATTTAATTACCTATACAAGACCAAGAAGTGGAGTAGATTCACTTACCTACGCAAGACCAAGAAGCCACGAAGAGTAAAACGCCGGGCTAAAGAGGGAATTTCACTGGATTGTTTGATTAAAATGAACGGAGCTCATATGCTTAACGGGACTTTGGATGGAATGTCCCTCCTTGGATATTTATTTGATAATTTAGGTACCCCCGGATTATATTTTGAGAAATACTAGGACCTAGTAGTTCTTACCACAAAACCTAGGGTACCTGGCAGCAATTTTTTGTCAGATTTTTTTTAAATTTAATTAAAATCATAATGTGAGGATTAAATTGTTAGTGATAGGCAAAGGTGTACGACGAAGAAGGGTAGCCAACGGCAACAACGAAGGACGGTGACAAGTGACCGGAGACGATGGAAGTCTAACGACTAGAAATATATAAACCTACCTAAGCTAATGACTATTTTACCTACCTAGACCAAGTCGAAGGCGGGTCTCGACATCAATTTCACACATGGCTAGCTAGCACGCTAGGTAGATTTATATGCATGGTTAGACTATTAACTTTATTACGAGTATTGTATGATATCCTCAGACTTGCATACTATTCTCGTCAATGTTTCTTGTACGTACATTTGTTGTACATTTGAGTCAAATTAGTTCGTATATATAGAAAATGTGAATGAAGTTGGTCATTCGAACATAATTTATCTTCTAAAATTCTGAGTCATCACGTTAATTGACGCAAGAGCAATGACCTTGTGTATTACTTTTTGTATCAATTAACGTGTTAACTTATAATTTTAGAATATAAATTTTTCATAAAAGACTAATTTGATTCACATGTCGCAATTCTTAGTTGCATGGACTAATTAGACAAAATCAAACTTACAGGGACTGAATTCTCTCGTGAGTGCTCTTAAAGGGACTAAAACAAGTATTAACTCCTTTTACTCTGTCCCATAATATATTTATCTAGTTTTATCTTTTTGTAATCTAAATCAAAATTGATAATTTTAACTATTAATTAAATGAAATTTATAATAAATATTACTCATACAAGAGTAATGTTATTAGGTTTAACTTGTAAAATATTTTCAAAATAGTTTTTTATTTAGTTAATATACTCCGTAACATGTATTTTTAATTTAATTATATATCAAAGATCGATCTAGATTGACTGGAAATTTAAAACACTAGTTGCACAACTAGTCTATTAGGTTTATCCAAACAAAAAAATTGTTAGGCTCATAGAAAGATCATTGTTGATGATATATAAAACATGCAAAGAGAGTTGAACTTCAAATCCCTATAATCCACGAATTTAGATAATGATTAAATGGATCTAATTTCTAGTATTTATACGTACTATATTTGAAATACGCAAATTAAATCAGCAGATATATTTCATTTCCTAAAATATAATTAAGGATAAGTTTAAAATTACCTAAAATATAATTATTATATGGAGAAGGCAATGGTAGTTAAATTGTTGCTGGTGATTTTGTACGTTGTCCTAGCACATGAGGTGATTATTATTTTAATTTTCCCCTTTTTTCATATATTTCGAATCGTCCCAAAAAGAAAAAATTGCCCCACATCATATATGTACATATTGGATAATTTATATGGCTATAATCATTATTAAAAAACATGACTCTAATCAATACCTACTAAAAATATTTGTGGTCTTCTATTGTCCTGTTTGACATCAGCGTTAGAGATTAACGTTAACATTTTGAAAAGACTATCCGACGATAGCTTTAGCGATAGCATTTTCAGAATTAATCTACACTGTTAAAATTTAATCCAAAACGTTAACGGTAATCGAAAATATTGTTTCCAACAAGACCTATGTTTATCAAATAATTAATGTTTGTTATGAATCATTTTCAGGGAGGGATATGTAGTGGACAACATTTGAAAGTTGCGGACACAGGTACATACCTTAGATTAGAACCCACGGGCCTCGGTACTCACCCAGCCTGCAAAATAATAGGTTTGGGCTTGACAATTTAGGATACGAGCAGGTTTGGGCTTATAAATGACAGCCCGAGTATTTAAGGGTCGGACTCGAGTTTTATACTCAAGCCCACGGGCTAGCACGACTTGAATGAATTAAAATATTTATTATTAGTATATTTATAATTAAATAATAATAACAACATTAATATTATTAACAATAAAAAAGAATAATATTATTTGTAATTATTAAAAATACCACAACCGTTCTTCTATGGATAAAAATTAAATTATAAGTATATTTAATAAACTGAATACATCATTAATACTTTGTATTGTTTACTACGTATCACACATTGATAATGGTATTCTACTCCCTCCGTCCCAAAATATTTGTCACACTTGCTTTTTCAGCAGTCGTGGGAACTTTTATTTATTTCTATGTTTTCAGTGGTTATTTGATAAAATAAAATATTCTTGGCACATTGTATTTCGAAAAACTTTTCATGTAGTTTTTTATGTGTAAATTTTACAGAGTATTTTTTATTTTTATACCAATATGTAAATAAAATGAATTGAAAAAACTTGATATTTTGTCTCGGAAATACAAGTGAGACAAATATTTAGAGACAAAGAGAGTAATAAATAATACGTCTACTCTGCACGTAGTGGCAATATCAAACAAAGCACATTTTATATACTCCCTCCGTCCCATAAAGTGTTACCCATTTTGACTAAAGTTGAAATTAAGAGAGGGATAATTTTGTGTTACTTTTCAAAAATACCCTTGATGTGATGGGTAAAAGTAGGATGTGATGTTTAGATTATAAGAAAAAAGGTATGATGTGATAGGTAGAATTTGAAAAAGTAAGGGGTAAAAGTGGTTTTTTAATAGAAATGAGTAAGGGATTGTGGAACACATTTTTTTTTGAAACGTGTATATCTTTTTGGGACGGAGGGAGTATTAGTTATTCTTTAAATAATACTTCTACTCCCCACGTAGTGGCAATATCAAACAAAACACATTTTATATAATAGTTATTCTTTAATTTATTCATTATAGTTATTATATCTAATATATTAACACATTGCTTATTTTTTAAAAAATATTTTTTTAATTATATAGAAGTGTTTGTCGTGCGGACCGGGTCGGCCCGAAGCCCGTGGGTTTCGATCCAATGCGGGCCAGATTCAGGCTTCAATTGTTAGGCCCGTTATACGGGCCATGCCGGGTTCAAACTTAAAAAATTCTCGTAATGTACCGTATCGGCCCGGCTCGCACTTTGATGCATGTATGAATTTGCATTTTTTCCGGTCACAAATCTTTCTCCTAAATTTTTCTCCCTCCCTCCCTCCCAGAAAAAATTGGTTTATTAAATATTAAAGGCTTCTGATAAATTTCGTTTGTGTATGCAACTTTATTAATCATTCGATAAAATAAAATAATCAGATCATTACTTTTTGTAAATTTTCTTATACGATTCTCATCAGATCATTACGAGGAGTATTATTTTTGTTGTTGTTGTTATTATTATAATTGTAATCATTATTATTAGTATGTAAAGTAATAAGTTTAAATGTGGTGCATGGCATGCAGATTGCCCGTCGAAATGCAGTTATCGTTGCAGCAAGTCGTCAAGGCAGAAGATGTGCCTGAGGGCATGCAATACCTGCTGCCGGAGGTGCCACTGCGTGCCGCCGGGGACCGCCGGAAATGAGGACGTCTGCCCTTGTTATGCCCACATGACTACTCACGGCGGCCGCCACAAATGCCCTTAATAATCGTTATTTGATTTGAGGAGGACGACACACCACTTGAGGTACACCATACGTACACCAAGTTCAAAATAGGCACACACATACACTTAGTGTATGTACACGGATAACGAATATATTAAATTCGATTTAAGGGCCGGGGAGTGAATTAAATTATATTACAAGATCTAAATAAAAGGACAATAAACCTAACCATTTATATATGGTGTGGATTTAATCTTTTACTCAATGTAACAAATAATGCATGTGCGTGTACCATCAATTAAAAGTTTAATTACTCCCTAAAGCATAATTACTTTTGCAAGATTAAATAATATTCTAAAAATATTACTCCCTCCGTTTCTTAAAACTCTTCCTCTTTCATTTTTTTTTGTTTTTCTCAAAACACTTCCCCTTTCTATTAAAAAACCACTTTTACCCCTTCCTTTTCATACCATACCTATCACATCATACTTTTTCACTAACAACTAAATTATCACATCTTACTTTTACCCATCATATCAAGGGCAAAATTGGAAAGTCAACTACAATTTAACACTTCCTTATTTTCCCCCAAAGTCAGAAGAGGAACTCTTTTGAAAAACGGAGGTAGTATAAGATAAATTTCATACAATTATTTGAGGAGTATGTTATGGATAGACATGTCAATGGGTCGGGTTCAGGCCGGTTCATAGTGTTCTATTCCTGTACCTATTTTAAAAAAAATGATCCTGACCCGTACCCATTTACCCGACGGGTCTTGAAGTTTAATCCTATATTTGGATCCATTGGGTCTCGGTATCGGGTCAGGTATACCTATAATAAAAGTTGACGTCTTTTATTTTTCTATAATTGAAAAAAAAATTTGTGAAAATACTATGAATGAAAAACACTTTAATTAAATACAAATAAAAATAAGATCAATATGTTAGTGCAAAAAATCAACCTTTTCACCAAAATTTACAGCAAAAATTTTAGATTCATAATCGATCTTCTTGTCACATTCATTCATGTTGCAAGAATGTTATTTATAAAATTACAACTAATTCCAAACTATTGATTTTATAGTACCGCATAGCTTAAACCAACGTGTACATGCCTCTAATATTGTGAAATAAATACAAATAGATTTGGAAGTCATACAACCAGCGAAGAAGATGAGTAGTGAAGAAGAGAGGTAGAGTTTTAATATTATGTACGTAATATATATTTAACTGGTACGGGTTTTAAACGGGTCGGGACTACTCGTCCTATATCCAACCCTTTATTTTTTTAAAATAACGGGTACGATTCGGGTACGAGCATACGGTATTTTTTATACTCCTAAACCCGCTAAAAAATTACGAGTATTATACGGGTTCAGGTCTATACCCGACCCATTGACAGGCCTAGTTATGGATGGTAGAATAGGATATTTAGCTAGATATATTCATTAGTTATTATCTATTTTGTATTATTATTAAACGAACTTGTATCGGATATGGAAGAATTCTGACCGTTCTTCAAGCTCCTAGAAATTTAGACGAGAGTAGGAGAATGATTGAGACGAGAAGAGAATTGGCAAACTTAGGTGAGAGAGAAGGGATTAAGGTTTATAATATCGTATATAACACTTTACTTTTCAATTTACTTCTGTCTTAAAAAAATCTTTTAAATTCAATTAAAATCTCTTTATATTTCTACTAATTATTAACCTATCACATAATTTATTTATTAGTAATTTATTCATCACCGTACATCTTATCATACATACACCAAAGAGCAAAATTAAATGAGAGAAGGGAAAAAAAATTTATTTCACTCAAACGAATAGTAGTATAAATAAAGATTAAAAGATTTTGAATTTGTTGTTCTAATTTGATCTAGAGTATTACGGATTACTCCCGGAGTTTTAATTTATTTATAAAATTTAAATCACGACCGAAAAGGATTTATTGAAAAAGAAATTTTTAAAAACATTTGCACCAGCCGGGAATCGAACCCGGGTCTGTACCGTGGCAGGGTACTATTCTACCACTAGACCACTGGTGCTTATTGATAAACAATTCTTTCTTACTATAAATGTTTTCCAACCAGAGATGTCATTTTTCAATTACAATTAATATGCATGTTATGCTTACGTGTAATAAAAGTTAACAAATCATGATGGGTAAGATTTAGAATAATTTACGTAAATCAGGCTTAAACATATCACTTTTCTTCAAATAGAAGCGATCATATTACTCTAACGTTTTATAATAGAAAGTTCTAAAAACGCTCTGCCTTTGAGAATGTGAATGTTTCATTAATAACTGAAAAAATGCTAAGCATCCAAAATGACTACAAATGGATATTAATAATGTCCTTAATAAGTCATTCTATTAATATGACTTTATGGTACGATGTTTGTTTGTAGAATCTACTAAAACGTCTACTAAAAAACTTCAAGTCATTATAAAAGAATGACTCATTACACAATTCAAGTAGAATAAGAAAATATTAAAAAACAATTTGAATAGTCAGTGAAATAATTAGCTATTGTCTCACACTTATTGCTAATGACCATATATATATTCATATAGTCATTCGTATAATCAGTCATTATCATAATACTTGTTGCTAATGAAAGCATATATAGAAATGAGTTACTTTTTAGTCTTATATGGAGTTACTTTTTAGTCTTAATTATATGGAGTAATTTTTTCTAAAATTTGGGTCACCCTAACATAAATATGCAAAGATAAGAATGCTCTCCGAAATATTCAAGTTTAGCTAATTATATCAAACCTTATACACCAAAATCTTATCTTTCAATTTCTCATCCGTCAAGTTTGAGAAGAAACAAAAAAGATGGAGGGAGTATAGCTTTTTTGTTAGACCAACGAGTCAAGTATTCAAGAACGGAAGATTAGTTATATTATTTATTAATTAGTAGTTATTTAATACTCAATAACTAAATTAGTAGTTAGTATGGGCCTTAGCCCATTATGTCAATTAAGATTAGTATTAGGGGTTTCTTATTTCATATAAATAACGATGTACCCTTTCGTTCAATAATCAACAAACAATAATCAAAACCCTAATCTCGTCTCTCTTTTCTTGGAGCTCGGAAACATTCAAAATTTTCCTTCTCTCTTTGCCTCTCCTTTCTTGGAGCCCGAAGACGCTCGTTCGCCACTCGAAGTTCTTCCTTATCCGATACGATATTCATATCAATCTTCTTTAAAAAAATTCTGTGTGTTGGATGCAATTGCTCCTAACAAATAATATTCCATCCGTCCTTAAATGGATAGAAATTTTTTTTTCTCTCTTCTCTCGATAACTTTTGTTTATTTGTATGTTTTCATTGAATATTTGATAAAATAAAATATTCTTATCACCTACTCCCTCCGTCCCAAAAAAATTTACACCTTTCAGAAAAATTGTGTCCCACAATCTTCTACACATTTCAATTAAAAAACCACTTTTACCCCTTACTTTTTCAAACTCTACATATCACATCATACCTTTTTCCTAATAATCTACACATCACATCCTACTTTTACCCATTACATCAAGGGTATTTTTGAAAAGTCAACACAAAATTATACCTCCCTTAATTTCAACTTTAGTCAAAACGTGTAAATCTTTTTGGAACGGAGGTAGTTTAATTCTGTAGAACTTTTAACGTAGTTTTTTCATGGCCCGAAGGGTGTTAATATTTGAGATATTAATTTACAAAAAATATAAGAGTATAGTCCGTACATATAATTATCAGCTGCATTATTAGAAATTTAATTTATTCACAATAATACTCCAAAAGTACATATTGATATAATAGATATGGAGTATGTCTCAAGAATCAAGAGATTTATACAAACTAAAAATTCTCTTGAAATATTAATTTTTAGAGAATACTTGTGATAGTTATATAGCGCAATTATGATTTTTTTTTAAAAAATAAAGTCTCATCACAAGGACTATTTTTTATTTTTTTTTATTGGTTCACATGGATTGGTAACCATAATGAAAAAGGAGCTACGTACAACGATTAAACAATGATGAAATAATAGAATTTTTGCGGCTCATGTTATGATGTCTACCTCCTCCCACTTCCAATGCAAGCAACATCCAATTTGTACAAATATATTTTCAAAAAGAAAATTTAATTCCCTTTTTTTTTTCATTTTGACGTTGTATAGTTAACATTTTTAAATATCGACCACAAATTATAGAAAAATACATTGGATTCTGATATAAATTTTTTTGGAACCGAAAGCGCAATATTTGTTTCTGGACGAGAGAATATACCAACAATGAATCCACTCGACTCAAAGAATATCCTTTTTGGTAGCGACATTCCAACTTAGTTTCATTATAGCAACCTTATTCCAATTGGATAAATTTTTTTAAAAAAATTGTAACTGATGGAGAAATTAAAATGAAAATCAAAGAATTGGGGAATAAAAACCCTAATGTATGTAAAGCATTTTCAATTTTGCATGTGAGTGTCGATTGAACTTCAGTTGTAATTGGATTCATTAGTTTATGCACTTTTTATTCTTGGATAAAATAAATGTTTTTTATTGTTACGATTATTTATTTCTTTATGATAGTATAATGAAGAAAGAAATATTCCGTATAAAACTATATATGACTAATTATATATCAAAACATTGAAATTGAATTACCGGGGCAGATTGTGAATATATCAAGATTGAAAATTAAGAAAACCAGATCGTAATAACAACAACAACAATTATTATTATTATTATTATTATTATTATTATTATTATTATTATTACTATTATTATTATTATAACATTAACAGAAGAAGTTGAATATATTGGATACATTGAGTTTAAGACGATCCCAAATTCCCAATATGACCATCAATTTTTTTGAAAGGTCGTCTGATTAATACTATATTCGTTTTTTAAAACACTTCTTCCTTCATTTTTTTAAAAATACTTTTATTTTCTATTAAAAAACAATTTTTGTTCCTATTTTTTTATATCATAAAACATATCCATCACATTATACATTTTCACTAGTAATCTATCTATCACATCAAGGATAATTAAAAAGTCAACCACAAATGAAACTTCTTATTTCTTCTAAAAGCTAAAATACAAACCGTTTTATGAAACAGAGGGAATATTAATTCAAATCGGAGTACAAAGTCTCATAAATAAGCGCGAGAGGGACAAGAACCCACTCGAGATGACCAAATTCAGAATCAAACGGTCACAA